AGGTGCGCAGCTGAAGCCCTATGTTCCTCTAGGAACTAAAGGATACAATATTAATAATAATCTGTTGTACTATGTAATTCCTATATCAAAAAGGCCATCAAAAACAAAGTGAGCGACGGTTCTAATGACTTAATTTACTTAAGTAACATGATACTGAGTGCAAGAGGATATTTTAAGATATTGTGCACACTTCTAGTGACTACAGGCAACTGTGTTACTGAATTAAGGCTTTTTTTAGATTCTCCGGACTGGGAATGGCAGTCAGGCCGGAGTGTCCTGCAGCTAAAATCTACGTAAACAATTACCTATGGAGTTGTCGACATATGTGGGTTGCCTGTTGTGCGACAGACGTTGTTACTCTTGGTAAAAAACTAACAACAGGGTGGAGTGCTGTCATATGCAACTTAAGACACATCTAAGCAAATGTTTCCAAATGGTATTGAGCCTTCGTGAAATATGGAGGTGTTCCATTAAGTCATCGAGAATAAGGGCTGCAATCTTAATTACTCCATAAAATTTGATGTGACTTATTTAGTTCCTCATTTAAAAATCCTTAGGTGGATGAACATCTTTCAAATTTACTGCAACACATAACAGCTTACGCTGAGTATTCAGTTAAGAAAGGCATCAGGAGGCATAATCATATGCGGGTTACCGAAATTACAGAAGCATTAGTGGTACTTAAAGGTGAAAGATACTTTATTATGGACAAGTATGACTGCAAGTGCTGCTATTTCCAAAGCGTAAATGTGCTGCTCTCATGCCGTCACTAACTTACACTGTTCTGCATATATATCCCACAATAGGTAAGTCAATAAACTGTCAAATAAATTTGTCAAAGATATATTTATGTATACAGATATATATCCATCGAAAACATCATATTTTCCATTCTTAGACCACCATGGTCAGCATTAAACATTGCAAATGTATACTATCATTTCAAGTACTATATAGCTTCTTCTTCTTGTATTTTTCTTGCAAATATACTTCCAATAATGTATTATTCATAATCGCATTTTTTACCACTTTGCAGCTGTGCAGAATTTTCTTCTCTTCCTGAAATACCGCTCAATCACGTGGCGGCATAGCACTTACCTAGATATACGCTGTTCACTGGTTGACCATATCTATCAGCAGGAAACGGAACGAAGTTTGGGTTGTCGCTCAACTTTGATGGTGACCTTAGTAAACGGCTTACAATTTAACATTTATAAGAACCTGTTCTGATTGCTAGTACAATAATTGATCAAATGAAACTTTTGAAGAAGTATTAATTCATGATAATTCGGGATTCCAATTTACAACATTACTGACCGTGCCTGTAACAATGGCATGGATTTCTTGTAAACTTACCGGTTTATACGAAATAGAAATTATTATTATAAATAGCACAAGGTGTTTAAGAGAGTATAGCCACACTGTCATTGAATGGCAGCCGATGACCCCTGAATGAATTAACTTTCAAATGCTGATACAGGCAATATTATATGAAATGTCGAACGTTAAACAGAAAATTACTTTTGGCTATTTTTGCTCATGTAGGTGATTTCCATTCACTTTTAGCATGGGAAAACTGTACATCGATGTGCAGAAAAGTGAGTACTTATCAAATTTTTAGGCCCCTTCACTAGGTGTAAGTTGTTGGTATCGGCTGATCAAATGACCAAGCACTGAATGCAGGCCGTCAGACTTATTTGTAGCAGCGATATGCCGTAACCACTCGATGTTATTCTTGCTCTGAATCATCGTCCAGCGCTTTCCATGTCACATCGTCGTGTTTCCTGCAACCAGTTGCATCACCTCAATAATTTGGGTGGGTTAGGCACAACTGTTGAATGCATTACTACTTTTTATTCACAGGCCACAATTTCTGGCAGCTATTTCAGATCATTTCGAAGAAAACATACATTCTGTCATAATCAATCATAATCACACTCACACAAAAAGGTTAAGTGTCTGTTTTTTCTGCCAGGGCTTGGGGTTGCAAGCTCTATTGGTCACATTCAGCGTGACGGATGATTTTTATCGTTTCACGCCTACCACTGTTGTAGGTGGTGATGAGTGCAGCTCATGTATCAACCAGAAGGTCTACGTAAGATTTTTTATCTTTGACGCAGATTACGCGACTATTCGGGCACCTATTCTCAGTAGCCGTTGCTTGAGAATAGTCTTCCTGTTGCGTGTAGTGTAGTCCAGGTCAGGCGCATGGTTGTGAGCACTTATTTGCCTGTGCGTCAGATCTTCAGCGGTACTAACAAAATCAACTTGTGGATCTAGTTCACCTGGTACTACTCTTTAACCGAAATTCTTTCGGGCGATTTACTTCATCTGCCCTGCGTTAGCTGTGTTCCTGCTAAGTGCCTTGTCAGTAATCTAGCTTGGGTCAATAGCTGTGAGATTATAGGGTTTTGCTCATGCTCACATAGTTTACCTACCCTTCTATATGTCATTTCCTTTCCAACATCCAGTCAGCCCCGAGTTACAGCTGTCCAGGAGAACAGTTGCAATCGTAGGTGTCCAGTGTCTGTCGCACACGCTTTGGGAGGGCTTTCATACAACCTCGCTTCATTTTAGCCTCTCTCACCGTACTGTCACTTACAAGCTGCTGCAGATGGCATAGGAACTTTGATGGGTATCTATCTCCCCAAATCTCCCACTGAAGCAACTGTTGTACTTGACAGTTTTCTAAAATTGAGATTTGTTTTATCACTTCGCACATATGCACTGTTCATAGGTGCCCATTCAGGAAGCGAATAATAAGTTCCCTCACCTCCTAGTTAATCTCATAAGGCAACCGAGAATACATATCCCTATAAGTGGTGGTTTCAGACTTAATCTAAAGTAGTTCTGTAGCTAAACAGGACCATAGTTTAGAGTCATGTCAATCAAATTTAGACTGAAGAATTCACCTCTACAAGAAGAGACCTTCACAATCAGGTTCCATGTTTGCAAATGAAATATCTAAATGTATAAAAATTTTGCCGTTTGTATGTACGAGAGAATAACTGAGTAGACAACAATACATAGTAGGGAAATGATGAAAGATACGGAGTCACCAATTTAGAAGTCGACTTTTCTATTGGAAAAAAATACCCAAACTGCAGGCAGAGGTGGTAAATTAACTTATACTTTATACCTCGTTTTTTGCGAGCATGGCTATGAGCAAGTGAAACGGGAATCCCGGACAAATACACAGTAAGTATTTATCATTCAGCAGAAAAAGAAATCCCTGCAAATCTTAAGAGTTATAGCTCGAGGTCGGCTTCTCCCCTCATGACTCGAAATTCCTTAATCTCTAACAAAATCCCAGTAGCGTCACCATACTTTGTTGCAGAATCCATGTATTGGATCACGACAGAAAATGATTCCCATATCAGGAAGAAGGTTTACTTTTCTTACTGTAAACGAACTTTGGCTGAGAATCCGATTGTATTAACACACTTATCTAATAAAGTATCTGAGACATTTATACCTACCATATACTCGCGAATCCCATGTTAGCTAAAAACACACTACTGCTAATTCCACCTAGTTTGAAACGTCATATGATGAAGTTTTTAAGGAATATAGATTCGCTTGTCGTATAATTTTCATGGCTAGCAGTCGCGAAGCTTTCAACACTCGGTTTTAATCATAAAACTCAGAGCCTCACCATATATTTTCATCACTAGTCACAAATTTTTAACGATATCCATTCTAACGTGCTGCATGTCATCGACAACAAGGGGAGATATATGTACTAGTTGTTTGGAAAATACGGCCACATCACTTCACTAGTGCTTGTTTGAATGAGTGAAGCTCGTCTCTGAATAATTCTTAGAATTTACAATGACTGCACGAAATGGTGAATTTACACAATGGAAAATATGAATAATAATAATGGTAAAGCTTTACTTAAGACAGTATGCTAGTATACGGTACAAAAATTTTCAGCATATTCAGTTCCAATGTACTTTTTTCTTCACACAGGATTCACATGTAAAGTAATAATCTGAAGTCTATCTTCATTTCGTTGAAGAATTGTAGAGCGTTTACTTGGAAGCAAGTTAAATCATCACGCAAGTTTATGTATAGGTCATTTGATATAGCTAGACGATTAAAACAATGATAAATCCAGATGAAATTTAGCATTTTGGAGGAAAGTAATTTCGGCAGCCCAATGACTTAACCAGGCCGCCTTAAAATAATTCAATAATTAAAATATTTGCTATTCCACGGATTACACTCACCGGCTATCATAACTAGGTGGTGCTCAGGCCTTCACAGTTATGATGGAGTGATGTTGAATTTTGAACCGACCTCTGGTTTTCTTGGATATCCTAGTCACTTGCCTTTTACATTAAAATATATCTTTTTTTTGCAATGAAATGCAAGTGGAGTTCCACCCTGAGATGTCATATAATACTGCACCTATTCCTTCACTAGCTGTTTTACATGGTGAAACTGCACCATTAATGGCATCATACTTCTGAAGTCGTTTGTGCCTCGTAGTCACTTAGCATTGTTTATATCGGTCTTAAGAACATCAGGGATATTTAAATGATGTAGGTCGTTGGTCAGTCGCAGTTGTCAACTTAACGGGTTTCTAATTCCTAGAAGTGCTTCCATTGAATAGGGGACTGAAGCTCATCGTTAATTTTAATATAAAAAGTGTGAAGGGCAACAAACACCTTTATTTTTTTATGATGAGGCTCTCATTTCAGCGTGGGGTAGTGACCTTGAGACGAGAAAATAGGATCTATGCGTTAATTTAGGGGCTAACTCTCAGCTCCTGGAAAAATATATTCGATATTTGGCGTTAAATGCGACCATTAAGTATTCGGGTTTATTTCAGTAGATTCGAGGTACCCACATATTCTCTCCGATGTTCGTATTCATCGCAATAGCCTCATATACTCTAGTTATATTAACCTTTAATCATGATCATAAATAATTGGAAACATTCAGGCCCCTCGCTTTAGTCGAAGTTATTTTGGCGCTACTGTTTCTACACGAGCATGTTTTGTAAGTAGGTCATTGGAAACTCAGTGCATTAAACTATTCCTACACAAAACTGTCGTATTTTTTATTATTTTTTTGATTACAGTTTGATTCCACATCGTATTTTTTTGGTAAAAGCGTGAAATTTTCAGCATGTGATATTAGTAGCCCAAATTTTGCAGTCCGACCATAGATATCAGGTGTGCGTCGGCAGGGGATCGAACCCCGGACCATGTGCATTGTCGGCGAGAGTGCTAACCACTGTGCCACCGACGCACTGCGAAAATTAATCTTTTGTAACGACTTGAAATTGTTTTAAGGAACATTAATATTTTTAGGAGGAGAGTTTATTCATATCATACCAATGTAGCCAGGCCAAATAGTTTGACCCAGTACATTTCTGGTGTCTCTTTAGGACCTGATAAATCATGGCGAGTTTAAAACTGCCACTTGCAACAGTATATATAGTATTCTCATTTTCCACTAAGTACATCTGTAACTTATCCTATACAGGGATGTAAGTAAATGTGTAAGTTTACTTATATGGCCACGTATTTTGGTTTCTACTTAAGCCCGTATAATTATATCATGAACAACAGTTCCTGGAATTGTTCTTTGCATATGCCCAATAATTAATAATGAATCATTTTTATAGGATGGTAGTCACATTAATGGAGAGAAAGTATTTTTCGGCTGCTATGCAAGTGAAAACATTTATTTCCCGATACGAATTTAAAACAAGCATTAAAGTTTAATAAAGCAGGATATGCTATTGAAGTGTTTCATTTCGAAAGTCAACAGGCACTTTGATAGCTTAGAACTTCTGAATAACACGAGAATTACCGTCTTCGAATCTACGAGTAAATTGTAGTATTTTTCGTTTATACTTACTGTATTTAGTATTTATTTAAAAGTTGAAATAATTTAGCTTCATAAGTTTAATTAACTTCAGAAAGTCATATTGTGAGCTTTTTCCTTCATTCTAGGTTTTTCATTCTGTCCTATGGATGCTTTAACATTTAACTCTTCTAACACGTCTTTTGCTGAGTCTGGGAAGACTCCAGTTACTCAAACTGTTCCTGTAGAGCAGTCTGCAATTCAAGCTTGGGAACGTGAACAAGATATCCACTTAGAACATCCTCATTTGGATTTGTTAGATGCTTGGTCTTCGGATGGTGGTAGCATATCCTCGTCTTCATCATACTGCTCTGACACACACCATACGGATATCGGTGGAGTGACTTCACCTATCTCTTGTGATAAAACAGTGAAAGGGGACCATGTAGATTCTTCGAGAGACACATGTGGGTCAGTGCAATTTAAGAAGCGTCATCTTCATTACCTAAAGTATGCATCCATTTGTTTTAGTTAAATTCCGATTGTCTTTCGAAATTAAGTAGCCATTTTATTACTAATTTTATGTGTTAATAAAGTGATACAATGCCTTTTTTGTTTTATTGATATAAGTATAAAACTTGGGCACTGTGGTAGAGTATAACTCCATTATGGATAAGATTTTATTTTGATAAATCACAGTGTTGTACAGTTATATTAACTGTTGTTTCTCTAGAGTAATAAATCTATGACATTAACGCATTTGCAATCGTTTATATCAGCCTCATTGATTGGAGTGTTTATCGCTTCATTGTAAAGTGATCTCAGTTGACATGGTCTGCTGAAAAAATAGAGGAATGCTTTAGAAAATAGTTTCGCTTCTCATAAACAGAAATCCTTGTATTTCTCATTGGCATAGTAAACAGTTAACAAGAAATAAAAAATCATGTAAATAACAGTATAAGCAACGGAAGCGTTGAAAGTCAAAGAAAGCGATGATCTTTGTATTTATGAAGGTGAATCTGAGAATTGTAGGATTTTAAAAGGCTAATTTTATGGTATCATTAGTTTGGTCATCTTATATTTCTGACAAGTTTTTCCCAATGTTATATGCACTATTTTATGCTTATACCTACATCGTAAGAGTTTGTTATAATTGTTGAGAACTTCATGCTGCCTCATGCACCTCTGAATTTATGAAGCTTATTAAAAATGAAGTCTGTAAGTTTGAATTGCTTCTTGAACTCTGATCGCCAAACCAATCTACAACTTAAATTCAGTTTTAATGTATGAACTGCAAAAAACAAATCTGTGGAAAGAGTATTTAGAAAGCATCGGTATCAAGTAATACTGACTGTGCTTTCAGCTGGCACTGATCTGAAAAGGTCGATGATTAGAACATGTGAAGAAATATCTTTTATTTGTGTATGGTGTTTACAGGCGACTGTAATGCTAAATCGAAGATCCTAACAAATATTCTGCTTAAGCTTTTAACTCTAAAGAAATGCAACATGAGCTTGACTGAGGTACCCCAGGTTTCCGACTGTCAGTGAAGTTGACATTATGATATTAAGTTAGTAAATGGAGCAGTCCATATTTGCTGATAAATTGTAGCCAGCTGTTCTCAAGGTTATTTATCGACGACTATTGATTATATTCATTATCAACTGTACTTGTAGCGTAGAATGCGTTGTATTCATTCAAATCTAATATTAAGTTTTCATTACTCTGGTTTGATATGATGTACTCCCTGTAATTGTTGGACTGAAAAATTACGTAATAGTTGATTGTAACTTAGAGTCTAAAAACACTGGATTCCTGCGAATTTTCATCTAATGAGTAGGCAGATTGTATTGTTCCATCTGAAATGTAATCAGTTTTGCGTGAGCCTTTCAGGAAATGTGACGCAACTCCCACATTTTCTTTTTTACTATAACCTTTGTTTCCATATGGTTTCAGTATGGAGACGGTATTCGAACGAGGTTTCCTTTTCAACTATTAGCCTTTGTTGGTTACCCTTAAAACACCAAAAGTATCATTACTTCACTAATGATAGTTGTGTCAAGCGTATATAATGCCAAAATGTCAGTTAAACAGTTTGAAACCTGAATTTTTAGTAATAATAAGGCAAATGAAGCAGCTTATTACTACCTACCTCTCCATTCTCCCTAATTCCAACCTTACTTATTGTAATAATTGCTTACTTTCGATTCCCGGCATGTTTTCATCAAAGTGGTAAAGACTAAATCACTGAACTACACCTCCATCTACTGACTGCTTAGTATAAATGGGATCATGGTTCGTTTTGGGTTCTAAAGTGTTGAGTTGTAGGAATTTGATCGACTTCAAGGTAAATTTCGTTATCAGCTGACCTCAGTTCAGGCCTTTAGTTGATGGTTCTTATTTTTCAGTAGCTAAGATTGTGGCCATGACTTTAAAATACAGTCTGCGAAGTTCATTATCCATAAACTCCATCAAAATTGTTCAGGGTGTCCTTATATTTTGTATAGTATTCATCGGTATTGTTGCTGTTAAGTAATGCAAGTTATTGATTACACTACATTCAAAATGAGGTACACTTAGATTGTATGGTATTAATTAACAGTATGTTTAGGTAGGTAATAGTACAGAAGCTGCTAATCCTGCTCTTTTTTATGTTTTTATTCGTTATTCGTGTGGATGCTTTTCTTATGAAAGATTGACTAAAAGGATAAAATCGAAGTTGTTCTGAATTTCGAAATTGTTTCCTAATAGGTCTGCTGGTGTATACACTAGTGAAGAAGTTATTGATCAGGCAATAGACCGTTGGCGCTCCTATAAGGATTTATGTTGTCAAGCTCTTTCTGTTTTAAGACAACAACTTGTTGATGCATATATTCCTCATGCAATGGAAGAAAACAAAATTTCTGCACCTAAACAAGGATCCAGTGAACCAAGTAAGTAAAGGTTTGAGTTCTTTTTGTCAATATTTCGGTTGCGTGAATACATTTTTTCTTAACTATGTACTAAGTAAGGCGCTACGAGCTAATCCGCTTTCTCCTTTACAATTATAAGGCATCCTTAATACAAGCAGTTGGTACAAGAATGTTACGTATCTTTGGTTTTTAAGGTCTGATTCATAAAGTAGTCGACTGAAACAAAAGTTAGTTGGTCTGTGCCTACTCTTAAGTCACTCACTATGCTGTTACAGTCTAAATGAGATAGTGTTTTGGTAAATCTAATTGTTATTCAAGCCGGAAGATTGCTAAATACCCCGAATTAAGGAGAAAAAGAAGGGGCTGATAGATCAATCCGAAAGTTTTTTTTATAAAGATAGCTTTGCGTCAACAATTGAAACAACTGGATCCTCTTTCACTGGTTTTAATCAGTTCTTTAATTTTTCAAATAGTAAAAAGAACTCTGTAAGTTATAACCATAACAAAATAAACCTGACAAGTGAGGTCGTGATGAGTTATTCTGTGAAGTTATTTCCAACATATTTTTAGTTGTATTTACCTTTCTCAAGGACTAATTTTACGAAACGTCCTTCAGTTTATATCTTATAGACTTAATAGTTCTTTTCAGTGTGAGTTTTGATTGTACGTGTAGTTTTCTGGACAAATTCAATTATATTTCGAAGATCTTTAAAGTACGTTTCTCATGTACTAATATTTGCTTTTTGATTGGTTTTCATAAACATTGGGCGAATAGGTTGAGTGCATCGCATCAACTCGGTTATTTTGTAGTCGAAGGGGTTATAACATTCTAACGAAGTAGTAGATACGATTGATTTATATAGGCCATATGTAGTGAACAGCATATTTGTCTATCTTGCTGAAGGCATGTCAAGATTGGTCGCTAAAGGTGAGATATGAGAAAAAAATAATGTCCTTTACAACCATAGTCTTTATGCTACTGAGACTACGATTTGATCAAAAGTAATGATACATGGAAATGTGGTTCACTGGTTTAAGGACTTGGTTTTCCACTGAAGGGTCTACCTACTTCACTTCCATACAATTTGTGCAGATTATGGTCTGGAAAAGAAAATATCTCTTCCAGGTAACTGATTGCTAACCATCTTGCATAGTCTCATCCAAGTGAAATAAGTCAATCGATAGTTGTAAATCTGTAAAGTGCAGTTTTATATAAAGTAAGATTGGGTTGTATAATAGTAAAGTCACCAAAACCAAGATATGACATGATAATACTATGTATTCACAAATTTTATCGTAGTTTATAAAGGGTAAATTAAGGTTTCGTGTTGCAAACTTGAAAGACGTAGACGTCGAGTAGTATGACTGACTGAAATTCGGTCCAGTGGCCCAAATACATTCATATCTTGTTTCTACCTTCATCTTGCCACAGATTACCTGCTTGATGTATTAATGCTAAGTGTGCTACCGTGAATCTTTAATAATCGGTATTTGTTACAGGATTTCATCATGAGGTGGCACACGTTAGAGAACCATTGGAAAACCTGGAAGTACTGGACAGCCGTTTCGTCCTAGTTTGGAACTTTTCATCAGTACTCACCCACACTGCTGGGTTCGAACCCAGAACCTTCTGGTTACAAGGCCAGCGAGGTCGTAGACCATAAACCTATTGGGGTCCTAATGGGATGCCGTGACCTGTAGGGTGCAGCAGGTCGGGAGTGAGGACATATACTTGCCGAAGACATTAGCTAGTGGTCGCGTTATGTCATGAATTGGCAGAAGTTGGAATTCATACACTGATCATTGGATCGGGTTCCAGTGACTTAATGGTCTACGAGTTCTCTGACCTCGTAACCAGAAGGTCCTGCGTTCGAACCCTGGCGGTGGATGCGTAAAGCTGAAGAGTCCCAAACTAGGACGAAGCAGCTGTCCAGTACTTCCAGGTTTTCCAATGGTTCTCTAACCAATGTTAGTTCATGATGAAATCCTGTACCCAATCAATCGAAATCCCTACATACCAATACTTGAGAATCAGTATTTGTCTTGGTTTATTGGATGTACACTTCTCACAAAATACTGTTATACTAACTTACCACTAACAAAATTTTCAACTTTATTTGTAAAAAATATAGTGTAATTCTTATTTGCTAATCTTTTTTAATTTCTCTGGTGTATTGGTATAACTTTTCTCTAAGCAGGTATACCATCCGACATATCGAATCGAAGTCACTTGAGGCAACGTGCTGCTAAAAATATACTCCGTCATTCCGTCAAGGTAATTTTCATATGATTCTATTGATATCGAATTTTTATCAGAAACTTGTCAAATTTTTTAATTATAATTATTAATGCATTTCTCTTAATGCTGAAAATGGTTATCTGCATATTAAGGTGTAACGACTCATGTAGTGAGCATAAAAGCTGTTAGTGAATTACTCCCATTTTTTGACAAATAAGATGCCTTTAAAATTTTTTATTGGTATTTTTTGTTATTGTTGATGAAATGTAACAGATAACTACTTAAATTCTAACGCCTAGTTCTATCTCTGGCTTGGTGTGCACTGTTTTGAGTGTGAACTCCGTGCGTTTACTGTCTTTGGTGTCGAAGGCAGGTAAAAAGATCTACTTTCATGGAGACTTTCACACTAGGTAATGTCATGTGGAAAGATGTTGTTCAACATATTAATCCCTCATATTATTAAGTGTACGTCTGGTCAGTTTCTCTGGCATTTCTTTCTTCTGATATGCATTATTTTAGGGTTTAGAATAATCTTCAGTTCATTAGAATCAAATGAAAAGTGTAAAATTTTGGGAACAATTAATTGTCTGACCGACAACAATCTGGTTTCTATTAACGATCTTGTTAAACAGAGATTAAAAAAAGGCCACTCTACTCAATTGGATGGGGTGCTGGTATGATTGATGTAAAAGGTACACAACATTCTAATGAGTCAAAATTCCTCAGCTGTCTGGAACAAATTTCTCATGTACTGGACTATATGTCATACCTATTGTTTGTAAAATATGATTCTACTGTCCAATCGCCTCCCCCCCCCCTAAAATACATACAGAGGGTTTTCTTTTTTGAATTCTGACACACTTTCTGAAAGTCAGTGAATCACATCTCCATCATACTACTGGGTGAAATTAATGGAAGCTGAAGTTATCTTATGGTCAACACACAATGGACTTAGACTTTGTTCACCAAATGTAATGCGTCTTGTTTACCACCATTTTTATCCTGCTGGCAGCTGTATTACTGTTATTATCCCCTTGGGTTCCGAATGGAACATAGGGATTCATCAGCACATCTCCATTGTGTATTGTTCTCTGCATTCCTCTTTAGATGACTGCACAATTGCCCATAAGCCCTCATCCCTTCCTCACACGGTCTCCTCTGTGTCGCCATCAAACGCCTGACTTGTCGTTTCTTATTCGGGTTCCACTCCAGTGATGGCCTGGTGCACGATGTCACCCAACAGTCTCCTCAGCGCGTGTGTGATGCATCTCCATCTTCTTCTGCGAATTTGTTAAGCTATAGTTTTTTGATTATTTGGTTCCCAGAGTTCCCTGCTGGTGATTCTTTTTGGAAATCTGATCTCTGATATTGAGCATGGGCAGGTGTTGATAAAAGTCTTCTGTGGTCCGGTAGAAATGCTTTAAGTGACGCGCCAAGCTTCTCATCCGCATAGATGAGACTTACTGTACTTTGTGAATTATTATTATTATTATGCAGAGGTGTATTCATGAATTCCTGATTACAGCGTTCGAGGAATTTTCGTCAAATCAATGTAATTATTGAAACTGCATGAAGTGAAATCATAATTTGATAATATGTTGCGTTGCATAACCCAGGTGATAGAGCCTTGGCTTGATAGCTGAGAATTCAATAGTTGGAAACTTGTTAAAGCGCAGGGTGTTTTTCCTGTTTTATATTTATTATACTCATTACCCAAATAAATATGCTTTAAACTCTGCAGTGAGATCAATATGCTATCAAGATATGAGAAGACATTTTGTAAGCTATAGTACTAACACGATCAGTTTGCTGTTTTGTGCATATTTTACTTTCAGACTGCAAATCAAAGACACCTAGCTTGTGTATCTAAATTTGCTATAGTTAGTAATCGTATAGCCAAATGGCGTAAACCTACTGCAAGTCAACAATGTCGCTACCGTGATCCTACGACAACAACTTGGGAGAAACGTTGTACAAACCGATGTATCCCACTATTACCAGTCTGTTCTCATCATTTAGTCCAAATGCGACCTGCACCATACTATGATGATTTAAATTCATCTGCCGTATGCGAAAATCAAAATGGTGAGCCGAATTCAGAAAACAACATCCTGAATGCCACTCCCAAATCTGATGACCCAATAACTGATTTCGTCGCAGATACTACTAGTAATACATCTGATATTGAACCGACTCCCCCACCTATCCACTGTATTCCCATTAGTCGTAGTCGAAATTCGTCCTGTGGAGATTTTCCCGCCTCCAACATGAATAAATCAATAAAATTTGATGATCACATTAAATCTCCATCTTCCCGCCTTAATCGGAGCACTAAGGGACATTTTGATCAGTCAAGTATAGGTAGTCCTAATTCTCCATCTTTACAGATTCCAGCACAGGTAAGTAAAATGATCATCTATCTTTTCCGTAAAATAGAAAAAAGAAATTATATGTGTGTGATTTCAGTAAATGTTGTTAGGGTTTTATTATTTCGCATTTTGGAGATATATTTCGATGTCCGTGTGAAAGAGGCATTCAATTGAGATCCCGCCGCGACCAGTCAGTAACATCGTAAATCTTCACGCATAAGAATAGCTTGTAACATAATGCGTAAATTACTTATAAAAAAGGGATAAACCGGATGGCATTATTGTTACTATTTTAACGGAAAGTCGACCTTAAACCATTGTGAATTAGATCATTCATGACGCGTTGGTCACTCAGTCAAGTTTAGATATTCAGTTAGAGACACGTATCTCTTGATATGAATTTAAAACAAGCAACAATTGTTAATAAAATAAAATCTAATGAATTCGTCAAATTTCAGCAGAATTCCTCAGCTGAACATTCCATATGCAATATGTGAGATACACTATAAAATATTTATTTTTAGGATTCCCCTGAGTTCCAAGTGGAACATAGGGCTTCAACAAATCTTCAGCTGGGTCCACGATTGATCATAATCTCTCATCTCCTCCTCTCCACACGATCTCATTCATGTCACCCTGGCACTGATGACCCATTCGTTGCTTCTCATTGGGATCTTACTCGAGCGATGGTCTGCATCGCGCACGATGTCATTCGACTGCCTCCTCAATGTATGCCCAATCCATCTCCATTTTCTGCTACATATTTGTTAAGCGGTCGGCTATCGGTTGGTTTGTTGCCAGTCAGAGTTTCTTGTTGCTAATTCTTTCTGGCTAGTCGGCCAGCCGGCCACTAGATCTTCAGTATGGAGTCAGTGGAGGATTTTCATAAGGCGAATAGTCAAATCACCCCTAATATACAGTCTGAGAACCTCTATAAACAAACAGGGGACTTGGTTGCCTCCTGTGATGAGGAACGTGAAAGATTCAAATCAACCCTGGTAGACTGCTGTTATCAATATAGACAGAAGAATTAGAATAAACCCGATAGTATACTCACAAAAGAGCATCGAGAGCTTGTTAAAAGACTAAGTCGAGATAAAAGCACAGTTACTACCGGACGGGATAATGGGACAAAGATAGTAATTATGGACAGGCATGGTTATATAAACAAATGAACTTCATACTAGAGGACGGTAGCAAGTTTCGGAAGCCGAAAAGAAATGAAAAAGTAGCGAGAGGCGTAACAGACTTATCAAATGATTGGAAAAGTAAAGGGTATATATCACCAAAAGCATATGAAAATTCCATTTATATTTAATCAAAGGATTCATAGAATTAATCACATATTGTTAACTATGTTATGCAAAATGTCTTATGCAATGTGAAGGAATAAGTAGGACTAAAAATCGGAAGTTTGGATTGCGTAATAGGTGTGAAAAGTTATCCGATCTAAATGGGTGGGCAAAAGCTAGTAGAGAAACAGCAAGGTGTTTGGATAAAGTCTACATGAGAAATACAATGTTATTAACAAGCAGTGGTGACGATATGTATAAAATCATGATAAAAATGAAGCATTACATACCATCACTCGCCTTGTAACAACAGAAGACAAGGGCCAGGCAACAGATCGTTTTATTATGAAAATCAACACGTATTTATACATATTTCACATACATTATTATTGCTTATTCAAGTAGACAAGCGCAGTCATCTGATTGGTTGTTTATCAGAAGTTAGGCAGACAAACGCAGGTTTCTGATTGGTTGTTTCGGGATTCCTCGACAAATAGAGTTCTCTATCTGCGAATCATATTTTGCCACGTTAACTTTGCTGTGATTGGTTGTTGAATCAGCCTTGCTCATATTTTCTCACGGCCTGCTCTCACCACAGCCTTACCATTGTAATGGTAGAAGATAAGTGACTTAGTGAACGATTGCTTATTTGCAATTCGGTATATCTATTTATTGAATGCGACCATGGATTGATATAAGTTAAAGAACCATTGAAAAGCAGGGGAGTACTGGACAGCTGTTTCGTCCTAGTTCGGGATTTATCGGCAGTACGCACCCACTGGGTTTCGAACTCAGGACCTTCCAGTTACAAGGAAATCTCTTACACCATTCAACTTTTCGGACCCGTGGAAATGGCCCATGAATTTTAGAGCGATCACCGACCAGTGTCATCGGCGGTAAATCCATCCTCACTCCTGACTGGATTTACCTCACTGGTCACGACTTCTCACTAGAACTCCAGGAAAATGCTCTTCAGTGACATTGGCTGGTGGCAGTGCTAAGACCACAAATTGGTAGAAGTTAGAATTCATGGGATGGCCATTGAATCGAGTACCAGTGGGCGAATGGCATACGGGTTTGCCTTGTCACCGGAAGACCCTGAGTTCGAGATCCAGTGGGTGCGTACTGATGATGACTCCATACTAGAAAGAAACAGTTGTCCAGTCCTCCTTGGTTTTCAATGGTCCTCTGATAGATATCATTCCGTGGTCAAACTCGAAAAGCTAATCAAATCCTTACAAATCAACTCTTGAAAATGATATCTCTATATGGTGAAATTATGTACACTTTATCAACGAATCGTCGTTTGCATAGATCTTCCGTGTTGTGCTACTTCTGCCCTTCGTATTGTGTTTCTTTTTATATCTGTCATGTTTTGCCGCAACACTGGTTCGCATTCGCTCTCTTTAATGTCAAGTCCATTACTCCGCTATTTGATATTTTTATGCGGATAAACGCCTCTTTATATACTATTGATAAATCTCGTCAGCAGGATATGCCACACTATGACTATGGTAACATTTTTGTCATAATTGTTTCGTTGTATTGCTTGATGTTTTGGTCTACTATTATTTTTATCAAGATTTCATAGTTGTCATAACCATTATTATCTTCCATAGTAGATTAACTAACAAGATTGAACTTAGTTCCCATCGTATCATATTTATTGAAAAGACTAATATTGTTTCCGAATGTACTTTATCTTCCTTTCTGTGTCACGCATGTCCTTTATTGATTCTATTCATATGTCTAGTCAATCTTTACTCATGTATATCAACGAAGCAAGGAAGTTGTGTGAGTGAGTACCTTGATATGATTATGAACGGCAATAAATTGTGCTTGAAATGTGGTCAGCAGTAAATATTACTGTATAAAGCATGATTGTACAGCTCTTGAAAATGACTCATTCGAAAAGAAGATTTTCTTTCCTGCTAAGTTGTCTTTTCATTTGAGACTTAATATGAGAATTTTCTGTTCACTTTATTGAACATCATATAATACTGCTGGTGATAGTATTGTGGTGAGAACTGGCTGTAAGCCAGACAGAAATTTACGCCAATGTTAAGTCCCGAATCAGGACCATGAGAAAAACATTAACAAAGCTTAACCTTGGGGAACCCACCAACCAATCACAGCAGACTTAAAGTTTGCGAATAGGATTCGCAGATATATAGCTTAACTTTCTGAGAAATGGTCACAAGCAACACAGAATAAACTTTAGCAAAAAACCAACCAATGAGAAGACGTTGCTTCTCCGCTGACAATAATGTACGTAAAATTGAATTTTAGATTTTCCCGTCGATTGATTAGACTGAAGTGCTCGGTATCAGGTTGACATATCGGCTTCTTGTGCAGATGCTTCGATGATATCTGGGCGTGTAATTAGAAGTTAGTCAGTGGATGGTGACTAGCAGTGGAATCCAGGATAACGCGCATTTCGTCCTATTTGGGACTGGTCAGCTGGATGTACCTGCATTCCCCAGTGAGTGACGATATTCCCACTGAGGCTCGAACCCAATGCCCTTAGTTTCAAACGCCAAAGCGTTATCCACTAGTCCACTTGGGCCACGAGAGCCACCTATTGTGCAACGGGTCATGTTAATTATTTAATTGAATTTTAGATTTTCCGTCGATTGATTAGATTGTAGTGGTCGATCTCAGGTTGACATGTCGAGTTCTTGTGCAGATGCTTCGACGATGTAGGCACATCCAGATGACGAGTCCCAAATAGGACGAAACGCGCACCCTGGATTCCACTGCTAGTCACTATCCACCAATTAAATGTACATAAAAATCTATAAATATCTTTTGATTCTCCTAATAAATAATCTGTTGCTTGGCCTTTGTATTCTGTCGTTAAACTATAACCTCTGATCGCATCATAGATACTAACTAGCTGGATAGTTTTCGAAAAAAATATGAATTGGTAATGTAGACAGCAAAATTTCAGGCATTCGTTCACTGATTCGACGTAGATTCTGGGCATTATGAATAACCAATGCGGAATTATTGTTAGATCTCAAAGAATATATTGTATAGATTCTTATTTCATTTCTAAGTTGTATATGTCATCTTACTAACACTCGTCAGCAAAGCCTATCAAAAATGCTGAAGGGACTGACGTCTTCTTGGCGATTCGAACCTACATCAACCAGTGCCACAATTAGAGGCGCTACTATTAAACTATTCAGGGGTAAACTGGATGGATTATTCTTCTCTCAGAATATACTAATTCTGTTAAGATGTGAGGCGCATGAAAAACTGATGAGAGAAAAAAAATTAAGAACCAAAGTTTTGAGGGTTGGTAAGATTTACAGAATAAACACAGTAGACTGGAACACAACAGAGATCCTAGTGCCTGGAAATAAAGACTAATATTTGTAAAGGTTCTCAGGATACACAAATTCATATTGTCTTTGATAGACAAGGGATAATTAGCATATCGAAATTTTTGTGAACTAACGAGCATTTTATCAGACTGTCTGAAATGTAACCTATGTAGGAAGGGGGTGAGCACAAATGGGGAGCTTGTAAGCCACCTACCTATGGTCGGTTCTCCATAATAAATTTCTATATATACCTATAATGATTGAAGTCGATAGAAAATTCTATCGCCAATCGAGTTCTCCTTTGTTCCTCTAGTCGGTCTGTCAATCAAATTCTATGCTCTTCCTTACTAATACACTGCCACAAAGATTCATGTTAACCATCATATTCAGGAGTAACTTTTATCTGTATGAATATGTAGCTAATTTGTGTGTGTGTGTGTGTGTTTAGTTGAATGGAAAATAAGACAAATCATTATCTTGACTAGCGCTATACCTAAGTCCAAACGTAACAAGACACAAACTTTATCGTCCTTGTTTATACATTTTTTTCATTTGAAAGAGAAGACGTTCAACGAAGATTTACTCCTCTTTTTGGTGATATCATTCTCAAGCTGTACAATCGCATATATATAGTTTGTTTTCTCAGCAACAAAATGAATATTTCAAGATTTGTTATTAGAATTGTAAATTGTAGCTGACAAATTACGTAATACAGAAAGCCTTAATCGAATAGAAACTAAAGTAAAATTATTAGAATTGTAGGTTTTAGACAAAATATTTCGTTAATGGGTTACAAACTAAAGTAAGATTAAATAAGCAAATTGAGTGACGTAATCTAATTGACGGGGTTGAGTAGAAAACTCAGCTAAAATTAAAATTGAACAAAAGTCAAGTTAATAACAGCGGTAATAAGGGGTGAGGAAAGAAAATATTATACAATTAAGAAACTCAGCGGTAAGGTGCTCGCCAGCCATGCAGATGGTTAGGGGTCCGATCCCCGGTCGACGCTCTACTTTACCTCACTAAGCCAGTAATAAGGGAAGGTTGAGCATGAGGCCAGCAACCCCATCCTGTAAAAATAATCACCACTGCCCCCAAAACTTGAAGTCCTATGTTCCACTATGAACGTAAAGGAATAACAAAGAAGCAAGAAACAGACGAAACAAAAATTCTGCATATGGTGTTAAGACAGATCAGGTCCCCTGTAGATTTAATGGGTGAACAAACTTCTTTTGTATGCAGAGTTCAGGTTTTAATATGTGAATTACCATTGCTTCTGCGGAATTTGAAGAAGTTTGATTCATACTCTCTTAACAAGATTCCCACGTATTCTGTAGATTTCAATATAGCAAAAATATTCATTCAGACATCTATAAAACATAAAATTATCGAGCAAAAAATATTCTTTTCGATAAATTCCTCTTCCGGCTCTACAATTATATATGCATGTTTATATACACAGAATATTCTAGATTAGTAGTTAATAACATTAGTGTTTTTAATATCAATTTGTAAAGTATGAGCAATGCAATTACAGTTCATTAAATATGCTTAAATTATAACAGTAATAAAGATATAATAGAGAATAGAATATCAACTAAAATTAGGAAAATTCCACAAAAATTCAGGATTATTCAAACCTGGATGGCCAAGGTAATGATAATGTCTGATCTAGCTCCTTTTGGATGCATAAATTAGGCTTGTTAATATGGATTCCAACAGCCAGCCTCAGAAATATTTAGTAGTCGAACTCTTAAGGCGAAATTGAGATTCGTAGGTATGCGGTAGATGACCCTAAAAGCATGGTTAACATCAATCTTGTGTTCTGTTTCTACAAGATGAGACAGAATAGCGCTACGAATAGATTTTGTTTGTCCTTTACTTAACCAACCACGCAGGGTGATGTTCGGAAATCCAACAAGAAACACGCCTAATTGTACGGTCCATGCAAGTAACTGGCTCCACAGGAGCACTTAAATTGGTAGATACACACAGAATAGGCGAAATTAGGCAGTTTATCTTCAACTCCTGAACGCAAAATAGAGGTTATTTTGGAGACAGCGTAATTCAGCAGCAGGGAATACTCTTTTTACCACATTTCTTAGGCGCTGTGTTATTATCTCGCTGGTGTTATCCCCAAGGAACTGTATCTGTAAGAACTGTTGGTAACTTGGGCTGCTTTGGTTTCAGATTCTTATCAATAAACTTTTCACGATAACCATTTTCACTAAGCAACCGTTTAATATTATTCAGTTCTTCATCAAGACTTTCGTCCGAGCAAATCGCTCTTGCCCTGTGAACCAGGCACTTTATCAAATTGCGTTTGTATTTCAAGGGCACAAAGCTGAGAAAATATGTGTACTGCTGTCCCGTTGATGTAGGTTTTATATAAACACTTCTTATTGTGCCATCCTCTTTTCTGATCATAAGGACGTCTTACCTAGTGCTCCGATTCGACCAGGTGTTCCAGAATAGAGCTTCGAGGGGACCTTTTTTCTCCTTTTTGAAACCATGAGGGTAAATGTTCGATGGTGCGTTTAAACAGCGAACTCTGGGTACGGCGGACATAACCTAGATAGCTCCACGCGAGCAGGTGGAGCATATTAAAACTAACATAAAATTGTCTCATATATTTAGATATTGTATTTTTTAGTTTTAACGCCTTTGTTTGTATACCTTTTTTTTTGCTTCATTTATTCTAGTACTTATTCCGTTGTTGTGATGGTGGATCATCTCATAAGTGTACAGAACCAGTTATTGCCTGGAATCAGTTGACGCGTTGCATTTACCACTCCACTACAGCATCAATTTGTACTGACAATCTGAATATGCCTAACAATGACTTGGAGGCCACACAAACAGAGACATGTAAAGACGTACAATCTGCTTAGATGGGAGTCTACATTGAATAAACATAATGAATATTATAATCCTTTTATACTGTAAATATCAACCTGACTAAATGATACTTTTGTTTTAATCATGTATTTATTTTTACCTACAGATATAATATACTGATACATATAAATATACATTATGATTAAAACATTGTCTTTTGATTTTGATCTCTTTTTTCTCTAATCGTGTGAATTGTTTATAAATCTCTCTTCTTTTTTCTTCTTTCTTTATCTCCTCGTCGTTCAAATTAACTTGCGCCTTTTAGAGAGAGATGAATAATACCGGTGTATTTATTATATCTGCACTTCGTAGTCCTATTGGTCGTATGTCTGGTTGTCTATCCGGTTTATCAGCGCATCAATTAGGCGGTCAAGTCATCAATTCTGTATTGGACAAAGCTGTAGAAGGATCAAATGATCCAAAAGAATTAAGAAATTATATTATAGAACACTTGGAAGAAGTTATACTTGGTCAGGTGTTGACAACAGCCACAGGGCAGAATCCAGCTAGGCAAGCAGCTATATTGGCAGGTATGTTGTATATATGTATGCTTGCACAGAAATTGAAATTATATTATATTTATTTTTAATATTTATGGAGTTATGATCTTTTAGTGTGCCCCAGCTTATATACTACTCACTGTTATGAGTAGTCTGAAACCACTAGCACACCTATGATCAATGCTATCTGGAGATATTGTGTCATCTTAGCACAGTACGATCCACAACGGAAAACTCAGCGAAGCGTTTGGAGTAAACACAGGAGTCAGACAAGGGTGCTTATTATCACCAATGATATTCCTAATTGTGGTGGACTAACTGGATTATGTATCAGACAGTGGGAAACAAGAAGACAGGTATATCCTGGACCGACGTGAAGAACTTAGAAGACCTGGATTTCGCGTGTGGATGATTTATGTTTGATGTCACACACAATCGAAGACTTACAAGCGAAAACCGACAAACTGGTCGAAGAAGCAGCCAGCGAAGACAGGACTCCAAGTGAACATAGACAAGACGGAGAGGATGAAAATAACCAACCAACAACAACAACAACAGAAACATCCAGCGCCAATCACCATCAACGGGAGGGATTTGAAAAGGTTACTTCATTCACTCATCCATCTAGGGAGAATTGTCTCAAATCTACAGGAAGTCGGAACGGAAGAGGATGTCAAATCGAGCGAGAATCGGGGGGAAGGCGAGAAACACATTCATCAACCAACCTGAAACCAATCTGGAAATCTTCGTCACTCAGCCACATCAACAACAGAATTCAGTCAGATTTTCAATACAAACAGCGTCAAGTCAGTCAGTTCTTCTATACGGATCAGAAACTTGGCGGGTGGGTCACAAAGAATATTTCCAACAGCCTGTTCCAGACCTTTATCAACAACTGTCTTCGCTGGCTGTATACTGAAGATCAGATGGGCGAGTCGGAAAGAATCACCAACAAGAAACTATGGGAAGAAACAAAAGAAGAACCGATCGCCCAACAAATATGCAGGAGAAAATGGAGATGGATTGGACACTTGCTGAGGAGGCCACTGGGTGACGTGGCGCGCGCGTCAGGTCATTGCTCGAGTGGAACCAGGCCGAAAGAGAAGCGGCGAGTGGGCCGTCAGTGTAAGGGTGACATGGAGGAGATCGTGTGAAGAGGAGTTGAAAGAGTATGGACTAAGATGGATGCAGGTGAAAAGTACAGCAGAAGGAAGACAGAAGCAAGTGGAGACGCGCAGTTGAAGTTCTATATTCCACTAGGAATCCTAGGGAACAATAATAATAATTAGCACAGTGCGACTGTTGTTTCGTTTCAAGCATATGAAAATTGTTTCTGCCCCTTAAAGGCAAATAAGTTGGAACCACTTCACTTTAGGATAGCTAGAGACGCATACATAGTACCTATCCAAATGATTTTTTTTGTGAAATTGACAGTTCTGAGTGGAATTTTATCATTGCTTTGTCTAGAAATCAGAACAATTTAGAACATAGTATGTGCTCTACACACTATCATCAATGATGTCCAGTTGGCAAACATAAAAACTATGCTACATGATTTTTATGGTGCGATGAGGGTTAGGTTAGGCTACTTTGCTTTCGGCTCGTGAGCGTGTTTTCGCACAAAGTACCACAGCTAACAATAGGTTAATAATGCATAATAACGTTTTTATACTGTAAGCTAGTCAGCTATAATTTTGTAATTGTTTCTATCTTGTCACTTAAATCAATAACATACTCATTCCTTACATCTCATGGTTGCTAAGGATGTAGTTAACATTTCCGTGTTCGAGCACCTGCTGTTTCAACACGCTTAACAAACTTTGATGTGGGCGTGAAACCTTACCCATCATGCCTGAAACTATGTACTTAATTTCAGCATTATTTATCGCAAGGTTTCACCGGAGACTGGTTGCATACTGGAAGCATATATAGATGATTGTCTGAAATTCTCTACTTCATATTTCAGTTTCTACATGCAGGCCTCTGTTATTGTTGTTTGGAATCAGTTACCTCATACTAGATCTGTCATGTGTATGCGTGTAAGCTGATCATACTTCTTAGTGACCCAAGCTGAAGGAGGTGCGACGGGATTCGAACACATGACCAATTGGCTGACCATCGAGTGCTTCAGCCAATGAGCCATCACTTCATCTTGAAATGTTCTCAGATGCGCATTTTATTAGCCTCTGTCGGAAAAAGAATGTAATATACTTTCATGTACCGCGGAAATGTCTACTGGAGTAGAGTGACGAATAACAGGTGCTTATCTCTAGATTGGTAGATTCTAAGGTTTCATCTAGGAAAGTTGAGAAGCTCGTGTTCCAGATAATTAGTATATATGGCACGGGTTTATTTTAACGGTCAGTAATCACTAGGATTCATCTGCTCTATAGGCTAAAAGACCCAGTGGACCCAATTAGACAAAATAATATAATTTACAAAATACCTTGCAATGACTGTTAGTTCAACTACATGAGTCAAACTAGTATATCGAGCGGGGGTAATCAGATTATCAGAACATAAGAATTTAACTAAGGTTAGAATGATTGACCCCAAGAAGATAAGTAATTTAGAAAAAAATTCAGCAGTCGTACTGCATGCATTAACACACAACCACACAATAGGGTGGGAGAGGATTGAAATTCTAAAAGGTCATCCAGATAGGTGGAGAGAGAAGTTGGTTTCTGAATCCTTGTTCATCGAGCCTACACCCAACACATGCAATAGAAGGGACTCAATGCAAATATCAAAGATACGGAACATATTATTACTACCAGTCAAATCAGAGGATAATAAATAATGTTAAAATGTATTCAGTTCACATTCTAACAAGTTATTTATTTTTTACTATAAAAACATCTTAATTCCTATCCTATTGTACTTTATTGATAACACTCATTATTATTTCTGAATGTACTTTATCTTATATTGATTTTATTCAAATGTCTAATCAATCTTTACTCATGTATATAAATGGAGCAAAAAAGTTGTGTGAGTGCCTTGATATGACTATGAGCAGCAATAATTTGTGCTTGAAACGTGGTCATCAGTAAATATTACTGTACAACAACACTGTGATTTTATCAAAATAAAATTTTATCCCTAACTGAATCATTAAATATTTGTTTCGTGGAACTTAATTTGGATTCGGATATCCAACACTGCTCTTCTGACACTGTATATACTCCGTAAATTTACTATGTAAGAAATTCTCACTGTGATGCAACCCAATCACACAGACAGATTCAAGACCTTTGAAAGCTTCTCCACTGTTATCGGCTAGATTTTAGAAATCCGCATGCGAAATTTTAGTGAAGTCTTTAGAACGCTTCCGTTTTACAGCTCGATGAGTACATGTTATACAAATTAATTTGAAGATCCTTTTACATGGACATGGAGACAATTTGGTTGCAGTACCTTAGTGAACGATCATACTGAAGCCGCATCAATGAACTAAGTTAAGAAAGAAGGTTAAATTGATGTAAGAATTAACTAGCGACCAAAGTTATTAAGAATAAATTTCTCCACCAACTGAGTTACGTGATGTGAGCACTCTCGATACATCATAATGTTGTGCGTCGGCGGCACAGTGGTAGAGTGCTCACTGACTATATAGGTGGTTCGGGGCTCGATCCCCGGCCAGCGCACTCCTTTACCTCGGTAAGCCAGTAGTAAGACTGGTAAAGAGTGCAGGTTGGACACGAGGCTAGCAACCCCATCCCGTAAAAATAAACACCACTGCTATCGAAACTTCATGCCTCTAGCTTGAAGCCTTATGTTCCACTGGGAACGTGAAGGAATAAAAAACCACAAAAACACCATAATATTAGCTTGGGGTATGAATGTTCCCATCAGGTGCATAGATTATATTTCCACCAGTTACGGATAACCCGGGTGTGTGTACGACTGTCGCTTCTTGCAAGGAATTTTATATTCATCATGCTTTAGAGCGCATCAGATAGATATATCTGATGGTATTGCAGTCAATATTTTAAAATTGTTTTATGCTATTTCAGGAATTACTGTTCAGAATGATATAAAAAACCCTACCATCTATTTAAATAGGAACTTTTATGTTTTATTTCTGTCTCACTGGAGAATTACTTAAAGGTGGACGCTAATTTCATCTTCATCTAATACGTCAATCTCTTCATGTTAATTACTACCATGTTTATTAGAACTATTGAATATATATTCAACGCTAATTTTTACATATCGCTACTGTTAGTTCCATTTAAATACTGAACATCAATTAATATGTTGCTTAATTATATTCTATAGGAATTCCTTATAGTGTACCAGCTTGGGGTGTAAATATGGTGTGTGGTTCAGGATTAAAATCTGTTTGCTTAGCCTTCGATCGATTACACCTTTCTTCTCCCACAGAAGGTGGCTGGATACTAGCTGGTGGACAAGAGTCAATGAGTCAGGCGCCACATGCAACTCCGCCTAGAGCATGTCTACGTCGTGTAGGTGGTCAAAATACTTCAGAACTTCCAAATTATGGAAATTTCACTCTGTTAGATACAATAATGAATGATGCTTTAACAGATGCATTTTGTTATCTTCCTATGGGTGCAACTGCAGAAATTGTCGCCAAAAGGTAAGATAAATATGGATCATTCCACTGAACCAATTTTTTGTTATTTGATTTCATTAACACTAAATACTAATGGCGAAAAGGTCATAAAGGAATATTTCATTACTGTTTAAATTCACACTTTACACGTTGGTCTTGAGAATGCTAAAGAGACCCTGAGTCTTCCAAGGTTGGTTTTAAATTTGGATGTGTTCTTTGAATTGGACAGGTAGTGGTAGGGAACAGAGCCTTCAATGTAAAAATGCGGATGAACTAGAAGTGTGTAGTTTCTAGTGTTTTGAATTCATGTCTTTGTTTATTCAACTAGTCAATCAGTCGACAGGAAGATCTCAAATTCAATTAAATTAATATGACCCGTTGCACAAGAGGTGGCTCTCGTGGCCCAAGTGGACTAGTGGATAACGCTTTGGCGTTTGAAACTAAGGGCATTGGGTTTGAGCCTCAGTGGGAATATCGTCACTCACTGGGGAATGCAGGTACGTCCATCTGACGAGTCCCAAATAGGACGAAATGCGCGTTATCCTGGATTCCACTGCTAGTCACCATCCACTGACTAACTTCTAATTACACGCCCAGATATCGTCGAAGCATCTGCACAAGAAGCCTATATGTCAACCTGATACCGAGCACTTCGGTCTAATCAATCGACGGGAAAATCTCAAATTCAATTAAAGTCATTGTTATTATTTTCATCGCCAGTATTATTCGTGCAATCGGTAGTGACCCGATTGACTCAGCTGAATTTGCTTCCTATGTCCTCCTACAGACTTTTTTAATGTATCTGTCAACTAGTCTCAGATTTTCAAATTTCAGTGTGCTGTTTTCAGTCTGAACAATAACCATAGAGGTGAAATAAATACCAATTGGTTATAAGAACTAAGTCTTACTTTCACATTCTCTCCTTCAATGGTAACTTGAGTCTGTCATTAAGATTTGTAAAATTTTGTCTTAAACTTCAACAATTATTGTTTGATGTATATGTGGTACCTAAATGATCAGTGCAAACTCCAAGTTGGATGTGCAGATGAGCATTACTGGAATTTTTAAAAAAATGATGGTTTGAAAACTTTTTAACCGTGTACATTGAAAATAAGGTGCCTTTTTCCAAACATTTAAATATCACAATGTACAGACTCACTAACAAAGGCACACTTACAATAAATCAGTGCCTACATCTGCTTTAGCTTTGAGAAACCAGAAAGCTTGAAGTCTAATCGCTATACAATAATCAGTAAAGTCATAGTAGCCTTCTATAGAATTGATGACATTCACCAAAGTTAAGAATCTCTTGTGTAGTCTACTCTAGCCTTTTTATTATTCCTTTGGGATCCAAGTGGAACGTATGGCATCAAGCTTAAGCTTTGAAGTTTCAGTAGTAATGGTGCCTGGTTTTTTTTACGGAGTAGAGTTTCTCGCCTTACGCTCAATCTTCCCTCTTTGTCTGAGTTACGATTAGCTAAGTGAGATTAAGGTGTAGTGCGTCGTTTGGTGATCGAACCTCGGACCATGTGTGGCGTGGTTGGCAAATGTTCTACCATGTTGGACCACCAACGCACTTAGTTTATTCTAGAAACATTAGAGATTGATAGTTGGTGGTTTGAATCTTTGTAGGGAACTATAGGATTTCTGATTTTTACGGTAGTGGATAGCTAAAACCGATAGATAGGTACTTTAAGGGATTAACATTAAATCACTTTTGAGTTATATCATTACTCTTTAAAATCTTGAGAACCTAATTTTCATTTATAAGTGTGTAAACCAAAAATCAAGGCAGTCCAAGGTACCAACAGAGTTCCTCAAAAGGCCTTATTCTTACAAATTCAATTCCTTTGGGATAACATCAGCGAGATACTAACACAACGCCTTAGGAATGAGGTAAAAAGAGCATTCACTGCTGTTGAATTATGCTGTGTCTTCAAATCCACCCCTATTTTGCCTTCACGAGTTTAAGATAAACTGCCTAATTTCACCTCTTCTGTATGTATGTACTAATTTGACTACTTCTGTGGAGTCAGTTACTTGCACATGCCGTACAATTAGGCGTGTTTCTCGTCGGATTTCTGAACATCAACCTATGTGGTAAAGTAAAGGACAAACAAAATCTATTCGTAGTGCTATTCTGTCCCATCTTGTGGATACAGAACACAAGATTGATGTTAACCAGGCGGCTTTCCAGATCATTTACCGTATACCAACAAATCTTGACTTCGCCTTAAGAGTTCGTTTACTAAATATTTCTGAGGCTGGCTGTTGGGATCCACATTAATGAGCCTAACTTATATGTCCAAAAGAAGCTAGTTTAGACATTGTCCTTACTTCGGTTATCTAGGTTCTAATGATCCTCAATTTTTTGTAGAAATTTCCTTAAGTTTAGGTGATATTCTATTTCCTGTTATATTATTATTATAATTTATACATCTTTAATGAACTGTAATTCCATTGATCTCGCTTAACAAATCGATATTGTTTGAAAAGCACAAATGCTGTTAATGACGACTATTCTAGAATATTCTATGTATATAAACATATATATAATTGTAGAGCCAGAGGAGGAAATTATGGAAAAGGATATTCTTTGCTCAATTATTTTGTTTTTTATAGATGCCTGAATGAATATTTTCGCTATACTTTTTATTTCACTTTAATAATAATAGTTACAGTAACAACAATAATTATACACAATAGAATTTTGATCATTGTACGTGTTGAAACAATTTATATCTCCTTTTACAAATTAAATAAATAACATATGTAATGATAATGTTGGTAACAAATTACCAGTACTCCCAAGTTTTCCAATGGTTCTCTAATCTATGTCAGCTCATGATGAAATCCTCTAACCAGTTAAACAAAATCCCTGCAAAAACCAATACTTGAAAATTCACCTGATGCTCACTGGGGACGGGCCCTATTCAGGCAGCTATCTGGGGTTCTAGTGAGAAGTCGTGACAAATAGGATACACCAGGTCGAAGGTGAAGACAGTCACTCGCCGAAGAAGAAATTGCTAAGTAGTCGCGCTATGTCGTGAATTGGTAGAAGTTGGAATTCATGCACTGGCCGTTGGATTCGGTCCCAGTGACTTAATAATGGTCTACGAGTTCGATGGCCTTGTAACCAGAAAGTCCTGGGTTCGAACTCTGGCGATGAGTGCTTACTGATGAAGAGTCTTAAACTAGGACGTGGGAAACAGCTGTCCACTACTCCTGGGCTTTCCAATACTTCCCTAACCGATGTTAGCCTATGATAACATCCTCCAACCAATCAAGCAAAATCCCTACAAACTAACACTTGAAAAGACAAATTATTGTTTATTTATAGGTTGTAAAATAGGTGGTGTATAAGCTCTTTTGCAACATCACTCTCTTCACACAACCAACGCCCGTGCTAAATATGCTATTGTTGAGTTTTTGTGTTTAGCTGTGCGAGCATAAATCTTAATGAAAAATTCTGGTTTTACCCGAAAAGAAACAAGGGAAAAGTTGCGAATAACGAAGAGGATGTTCAGTTTCGCACATGATGATTTTAGTCATTTGCGCTTGCAAGAATTAAAATGCCTGTAAATAACAATGTCGGTTAGTTGGGTTAAAGAAAACTGTAGCATAGTCCTTTTTAAGAAGCCCAGGGAATAATGAGGGAAGGGGGGACCATTAAGAAGGATGGGTAGAGCACATTAACTAATAAATTGTAGAAGAAGAGGTTGATTTATGACAAAAGTTCCCCGAATTCCGTGTCTAATAAGTGAAACGAACGATTTTCTTAGAAATCATAAAAATATGAAACAGCCAACAAAGATTAGAAGCGAAACAGATTGTAAGATAAAGAATATCCGGTTTAATTCCCAGCATACTAGCGTTGGTGGCAGAGCGGTTAGGACGCTCACTGACCATGCACATCGTCCGGGGTTCGATCCCCGGCCGACACACTCCTTTACCTCGCTAAGCCAGAAATAATGCTGGTAAAGAGGAAAGGTTGTGCATGAGGCTATCAACCTCATCCTATAAAAGTAGACACTGCTACAGACACTTCAAGCCTCTAGGTTGAAGCCCTATGTTTCACTAGGAACGTGAAGGAAAAAAACACTACCGTTGATAAGAAAAGAATCATGGGACTAAATTAGTCCCTGCAAGTTTTGTTCAGGCCTGAAGCTAAAATAAACGGTTTGACATTTTTCAGGGACCATTTGAATAAGATCATTGGTTAACTTCAGATAAGAACAATCTAATGCACATAAAAGAAGCTGTGGGGAAAATTCTCAGATTATCCACACATTTACTGAAATTGTCTGTTAAAGTATACGGTTATCCATCAAAAAAGAAAGAAATGCAGAAAGTACAACATCTCGAAGCATTCCAGATTTCCCGTAAGTAAAGAAGTGGAGTTCTTCCCACTAAAAACTGTGTTGTTTCCTCCCACTTTATGACCCAGAGCTCAGTGCCTGCTGAAGTCAGCTTGCGTAAAGAAGTCCCTCTGGAACAGAGTCAAAAGCAGCAGTGTAGTCTAAAAAGGTAGATCTGGCAAACTTCACACTTTTATCTAGACTGTAAACAATATTGTGGCGCAGCCAAAGACAACAACAGAAACATCCAGAGCCAATCACCATCAACGGGAGGGATTTGAAAGAGGTTACTTCATTCACTCATCCATCTAGGGAGCATTGTCTCAAATCTACAGGAATTCGGAACGGACGAGGATGTCATATCGAGTGAGAATCGGGGGGAAGGCGAGAAACACATTCACCAGCAGCCTGAAACCAATCTGGAAATCTTCGTCACTCAGCCACATCAACAACAGAATTCAGTCAGATTTTCAATACAAACAGCGTCAAGTCAGTCAGTTCTTCTATACGGATCAGAAACTTGGCGGGTGGGTCACGAAGAATATTTCCAACAGCCTGTTCCAGACCTTTATCAGCAACTGTCTTCGCTGGCTGTATACTGAAGATCAGATGGGCGAGTCGGAAAGAATCACCAACAAGAAACTATGGGAAGAAACAAAAGAAGAACCGATCGCCCAACAAATATGCAGGAGAAAATGGAGATGGATTGGACACTTGCTGAGGAGGCCACTGGGTGACATCGCGCGCGCGTCAGGTCATTGCTCGAGTGGAACCAGGCCGAAAGAGAAGCGGCGAGTGGGCCGTCAGTGTAAGGGTGACATGGAGGAGATCGTGTGAAGAGGAGTTGAAAGGGTATGGACTAAGATGGATGCGGGTGAAAAGTACAGCAGAAGGAAGACATAAGCAAGTGGAGACGCGCAGTTGAAGTTCTATATTCCACTAGGAATCCTAGGGAACAATAACAATACATTGTCAGCATCTAAAGTGCTTCTACTGTTAGTCTTATCGACCGTCTTTCAGCGTAATGACAATGAATGTGGTATTTAGCCTTGGTGGATAACTGCATTTGCATTTATAGCCTCTTTTAGTTTAATAGGCATCATCGTGATTATCGCAACTGGATAAACATATTCATCATATCTCCCAAAGTAGTAGTGCACTTTAAAAGTACATTTTTCACAAATTTTGTTATATTGCTGTTATAATCTTCAAGTGATATACACTAACCTTGTTTAATATTCATTATTTGTTAAAGATATGGAATTAGCCGAGAAGAACAAGATCTGTTCGCTTTGAGATCACAGGAGAAGTATGCAGCTGCTTTCAAAGCTGGTCATTTCGTTAATGAAATAACACCAATTAATGTAAGCAGAGTTAATTGTTTTTTTTTGATCTTATAAACTACATAAATGACATTTGACCTTTTTGATTGATTATCTATGTGTCTCTTTATTATTATTTTGTAGGTTCCAGGTATAGGTAAAGAAGAATCAAAAATTGTATCCACTGATGAACATCCAAGACCTGATACTACTTTAGCAAAATTATCAAAATTACGACCAGCATTTCAAGGGGATTCAAATGGTGGGACAGTTACAGCGGGTAATACCAGTGGAGTTAATGATGGTGCAGCAGTAGTATTACTTTGTCGTGGTGATCAATTATCAAAGCTGGGTAAGCAAGTAATAATAATAATTACCATTACTATTTTACCGATATTGTATATTCCATAAATACTTTTAATGCACACCGGTTTACTGATGAAATCACTTTCACTGGGCTCACACATTCGCTTTCCCTGAATACAGCTTGTTTTTGGTGGAATTTGGCGTGTAAAACATCTTTTCGTCTCTCTATGATGATCTGACCTAATATTTTGATTGGACAATGATGCTCAGGAAGGCTTCGTGTGCTTTTGGAAGTGTGTGGGCGGTTTTTACTTCCCGGTTGCCCACATCGTGGAAATTGATTGATTTTTCGGGTACATGAAACAGAAAGTGGTTTAGTGTTGCGTGATCGCAGAGCCCAGGGAACAACTGCTTGAGGCCGGTCACACAGCCTGTATGACTTGGTTTCTTGAATTGGTTCCGTATTAATAAATTTGCCGGCGGTTACGGACCATCGTAGGGTAAGTCCGGATGTATAATTGCTGGGATCGACCTTTTCTAACTCTCTCTCTCCAGAGTAGAGAAGCAGCATAGTTGGCATGCTGGTCATCTAAGGGAAACACCTCACTGCCGTTACACCCCTGTTCCGCAGCAGTACGACTTCGCCCATAGACCCCCAGCATAGTGTAAAAAATTCTTACACAATCCCGGTAACTGATTTTAGTCTAATCGCTATCTTAACAATCTTCCGGGCCTGGTAGGACCTGCAGGAACAAAAGTTCCTACCAATGTAGCTTGTCGGGTCATTGCGATATACAAGCTTGACCACCACGTCAAAGTAGCAGCTGTCGGTCGAGTGTTAGGTAAGGAGGGGAAATCAATAGACGAGGCTGTGAAGCTACACTTATTGAGATGGTCAGGACATGTGGCACGTATGTCTAACCGTCGCCTTCCTCTACGGGCGATGTTAGCTGACATAGGATCAGGTCGGCAAAGAGCCAGTGGTGGTCAAACGAAAACATAGCTACACCAGTCAACGCAATTCACAACAGTTAGTTTAAGCCACGTAGGAAGGTGTAGACTTTGCATCGTATCTGTGTTTTGCATTTCTTTTTACTGTCTACTCCTACTTTGTGTGCTAAGTGAAGTGTGGCGACTCGATCTGCTACACATCTGGGCAAAGTTATATGTTCAAATCAGTCATTCAGTCAGTCACTTTGCTTGGGGTGGACAGGAGCATGATTCTACCCCAGTTCTTGCAAAGGCTTAGTTCGCCCTTCGCTAGAGGTTTTATTTTTATTTTTTGATTTTTGATTTACAGCTTGATTCCACACTGCATTTTTGGTACAAGTGTGGAATTTTCAGCATGGATATCGGTAGCCCAAATTTTGCAGGCCGACCATAGATATCAGGTGTGCGCCGGCGTGGGCTCGAACCCCGGACCATGTGCATGGTCGGCGAGAGTCCTAACCACTGTGCCACCGACGCACAAGACAGCCGTGTTTCTAATCAAGAGGAACCTTGCCTTCCGTCTAAACCTTCTGCAATAGTATTGTGAGCATAAATGCTCATGGAAAATGGAGGGGATGATATTACAAAAATAACATGAGAAACAAATAAGCATAAGTAGGGGGGTGCCTGCATCACTCTCCCTTCATTCCACTATTGAAAGAAACAATACAGCTACCGTATGAGTAGTGGTGAATTTGTTTGTGAACCGTTTGTAATTACTTTTCTGGTTCCTTAGTTGCATGGTCTCTTGGACAGCGCTCAGAGAATCGTAGTGCATCATTCTCAATTAGTGTATTTAATTTTCGAACGTTTATTTTGTCAATATTCCTCTTGAATTTACTTCTCAGGTGATCGCCGTCCACTTGCACGTATTATTGGTTGGCACCAAGCTGGTCTAGAGCCAGAATTAATGGGTCTTGGTCCTATCTTTGCTATTCGAGGATTATTATCTAAGATTGGTTGGAAGATTGAAACTGTTGATGTCTTCGAAATTAATGAAGCATTTGCTTCTCAGTGCATTGCTGTAAGTTCTTTTTTTCTCAAAACCATTCTTAGTTACCGTATACTCTGTGCTATATAAAGGTGTGTAGTGCCATTTTATCCTTGCTCACTGTCCTGGTTTAAGCACTTGGCTTTCAACCAATAGGTCATGGGTTCGAGTCCCACGCTACATACTTCCACCTCACACAATAGGTATAGCTCATAGTCCCAACACTGTGTAATCATTCAGTGTTACATTTACTACATTTTCGAAGTAGTTTTCACCACCAATCAACATCAGTTATGATATGATTGGAAATGTATTATCTCAATTTTGATGTTCTCACCTCAAGATTTGATAGTCTTTGGTATGATCCTTTGTGTATGCACTGATCAGTATTATATGATGAATAGTTTTCAATGGGATCAACACTGCTATCCATTGTTTCTTGGCTATGTAATGGATATGATAAACCGATAGGGTACATCAAACCGCTCAAATAAATCGACAGACTTCGCAAATCTCTGTTGTGTAGAAAAATAAACGCTTTCAGGAATTGAGCGAAATAAACCTGAAGGTCCCCAGTGGTGTCATGAGTGTGTGTGTATGTTACTGAAAGGCCATAAAATCGCATGAAACTTCTACTCAGGACTTACTGGTTTTGTGCGAATTCTGTTCCATCCACCCCAGCCTAGGTGACTGATCAGTGTCACTAACTATCACCTGAATGGTCTGTTCTGGGTAAATGGACTCTAATAAATAAATAAATAGGATGATAATGATGTTATATATGCAAATATTACTCATTAAGGCTTTTGAATATTATATGAAAGAAAAAACATCTATTCAGAAGTTAAGTTTGTGGAATCTTCATTGGTTAGTGGTATTGTAACGACAGAAGATAAGGGTCAGGCAACAGATCATCTATTTGCTAACTGTATCCGCATACGCAAAGTCTTTGTTCTTATTTTTCTCACGACCAATATTTGGGACATAAACATTGACGTAAATTAATGTCTGTCTGTCTGTTTTCGACATAGAACTTTGCACAAATGTGCGGAAGTTCAAGTCGCCACACCGTGTAGCACGCGAAGCAAGAGAAGAAAGTACAAGAAAAGCATAATAGAAACAGTGAGCAGAGGTGTGAGACAAAGGAGTAATAACGAAGAACAAAACAGTTTCATTGGAGATCATAAGTCACAAGGAGTAGATGCATCTGCGCCACTGAGAACGATTTTGAGCCATGTCACCAATTGTTTCCAACCATAGATTTTTACCGTCCCGAGGACCCCAGCCTGGAAGTCTACACCTTCCTACGTGGCTTAGACCAACTGTTGTGGATTTCATTGACTGGTACCAAGTTTTTGTTTGACCTCCGCTAGCTTTTTTCCAGCCTGACCCTATATCCGCTAACATTGCTTGTCGAGGGAGGCGATGGCTTGGCATACGTAACACATGTCCTAACCATCTCAGTCTTTGTAACTTCACGACTTCGTCGATTGATTTCCCCTGTTTACCTAGAACTTGACGCCTAACCTCAATGTTGCTCACCTTATTATACCACTTTACACGGGAAATAGAGCGCAGGCACCTATGATCAAAGACAGCTAGTCTTTTCATGTCTTCCACTCTCAGTGGCCAGGTCTCACAACCATAAAGGAGAACGGAGCGGACTGATGAGCAGTACACCCGCCCTTTGGTCGATAGTCGAACATCTCGTCTACGCCAGAGTCGGCGTAAACTGTCAAATGCGAAACGAGCCCCCTGTATTCGTGCTGAGATTTCGTCAGAGATCAACCCGTTGGCACTGGCTGATGGTACTTCCCAAATAAGTGAAGCGGTCAACGTGCTCTACCACTTCACTTCCTATTTTTAAACTAGGCGTCGATGTAGTCCAGTCCTGTAACATCATCTTGCATTTGGCGGGAGCGAATCGCATGCCAAACATTCGTAGATTGCTGTTCAAGGTGTTTAGAAGACTCTGCATTTCGTCAGCGTCTTCGCCTAGAAGGACTATATCGTCTGCATATTCCAAGTCAACGAGATTATTCCCTGTTAGCAAGTCAATCCCTGAATCGCTGAAGTCACTTAGGGTTAAGTCCATTAACACATCTATGATGAAGTTGAATAGAAAAGGAGATAATGGGCATCCTTGACGGACACCACTGGTCGTCATCAGTTCAGATGACAGCTCGCCGTAAGCCCTCACCTGACTGTATGAGTACGAGTAGAGTGCCTTAATCAGTGCAATATATTTTCTCGGAATTCCCTTTACAGCCAAGCATCTCCAGAGAACTTCTCGATCGACAGAGTCGAATGCTGCCTCTAGGTCAAGAAATATAATGACCGTTGGACGCCGGTAGGAATTCCTATGTTCTAGAATCTGTCGGAGGGTGAAGATATGATCAATACACCCTCTTCCTGGTCTAAAGCCTGCCTGGCTCTCTCGTGTTTGTGCCTCCCAAACACCACTTAGTCTACGCAATATTATTGAGCCTAGGACTTTACATACTATATTAGTCAAGCTAATCCCTCTGTGATTATCACAAGAAGACTTGTCTCCCTTCTTGTATATGGGGATAATCAGTGACTTACACCAACCCGATGGGACTTCTTCTGATTCCCAGACGCTGCCTAGTACCTCAGTTAATGCAGACAGCAAACTGTCTCCACCGTACTTAAATACCTCTGGCGTCATTCCATCAGGTCCCGCTGCTTTGCCTAGTTTCAGATTGGTGACAGCTTTAGCAACCTCAGTTAGGGATGGAGGACCTGTGTCTATATCCCATTCAGGGAGGTGTTGGATGCTCGGAAGGTTGAGCGTGGCTGTGGGCCAATTAAACTGCTCCTCATAATGCTCTTTCCAACGATCCAGTCGTCTATCCTGGGAGGTGATAATGGTGCCATTTTTCTCCGAGATTGTTTCACTGATGATTTGTCTTCTCCCACCCGTTTCCCTGATGAGTCTAAAGAGTTGCCTGGTGTTGCCTATCCTCGAATTAATGTCTACCAATTTGGCTAGCAGCCAGTTCTCACCACACATCCCCCCATCAAAGACTTGCGACTGAAGTTGGTTCGATGTGCTCGGTTCTAGGGGCTTCGTTCGTTTGTCTTTATTTCTGGAATTCCGGTACTCACTGATGTTCACCTGTTTCTCTTTGTTTGACATTGCGATTGTGTCTGCGTACCCCCATCTCAAAGTGACCATATGTGGTCCTCCCCACTTTGGAAATTGTTTGCCTGACCCTGTTGCACATTCGTAGGTATTTCGCCTCACGCTTTCATATGCTGTTTTCGCCCGACCTCCCAGCAGCGTCCCAAGTAACAGCCTCATCGCTGACAGATCTTGAATGCCACTCAACTGCTCAGAAGCCTCAAAGTCCTACCCGAAGATCTATATGTCTCCATCAAAAACTGCATGGCATAGGCTTTCCATTTGTCAGTAGCAGCAACACCAAATGTAACAACAGAAGACAAGGGCCAGGTAACAGATCATCTATATACTAACTGTATCCGCCTGCGCAAAGTCTTTGTTCTTATTTTTCTCAGGACCAATATTTGGGATATAAACATTGACGTAAATTAATGTCTACCAATTTGGCTAGCAGCCAGCTCTCACCACAGTATTACCTTTAAAATCCAAACACATAAGTTCTGAATAAATCAATTTTGTTCATATGGTATTACAGAGTTCTAATAACTAGAAAGTATGTATCTTTTTATGTAATCAAGGAAAAAAGTTATTTGTTTTTACAACTGGAAGAGTTTTCTTTCAATAATTTCATTATCTATGTGCACAGTTATACTTACATTTAGTATAAATTCATTTGATAACCATTAAAAATTATTTAAATTAGTCCCAGAGTGTTTAAGAATAGATCAAAACAAGATTTTTCTGAACGTTTCGCTGTGGAATCTATAGCTTCTTGAGCAGAATTATTCGGATTTTATTAATCATCAAAATATAAAGTCAAAAATTTTACCTAAATTGACAAATTTTAGTTGTCATCCTAGAATAATAAATAATAATAATGGTAAAGCTTTATTTAAGACAGTATGCTAGTATACGGTACAAAAATTTTCAGCATACTCAGTTCCAAAGTACTTTTTTCTTCACACAGGATTCACATGTAAAGTAATAATCTGAAGTATATCTTCATTTCGTTGAAGAATTGTAGAGCGTTTACTTGGGAGAAAGTTAAATCATCGCGCAAGTTTATGTATAGGTCATTTGGTATAACTGGAAGATTAAAACAACGATAAATCCATATGAAATTAAGCATTTTGGAGGAAAGTAATTTCGGTAGCCCAATGATTTAAGCAGGCCGCCAGTAGAGATATGTATATGACACTCTTATCATCATTAAGAAAGCTGAAAAAGAAAACTATCTAACACAGATTAACTCAAAAGAGTACTTGCTTCATTTTATATTAAAAGTCTATTTCAAGCCCTCTAATTCTCTAGAAAAAGGTTTGGTGAATGTCTAAGATAGGGTTCCAAAAATGTCTATAGGACAAAGTGTTCAGAATGTGAAGTATGCTATATAGGCGAGAGCAGTAGACAAGTGAAGACCAGTGTGAATGAACATAGACTGTGCACGAAACTTCCCCGCTTAGAAATGAAGTAGAATTAAAAAGTCTAGAAAAAAGATCAGCTATCGCAATGCCTGCGATAGACAGCGAACATAAGATTGATTTCAACAAGGTAGAAATTCTTGGAAGAGGCCTTCATTCACATAAAGAAAGGTTGACCTCTGAAGCGTTGCATATTTTAACCACATCGAATGCAGTGAATAGGAAGGAGAGAAGGGATAAACTTATCACCTATATGGCAGACTCTGATGAAGCAAGACAGATGCAAAAAAAACAAATAAAGCCTATATGAACCTCTATGACCTTCAAAAAATTTATTATCATGTTTATAACATGTGGATTGACGTCTTTTCCATATGACAAATAACATACACTCAAACACACTCATACAGACAATGGTAATTTGACATTAGTCATTACAAATATATGATGACTGCTTACATATTTTTATTGGTACAAATGTTTATCGATAAGTGACCTTCAAATTATGCAAAAAAATATGACTATATATTTTGATGGTTAATAAAATCGGAATAATTCTGCTGAAGTAGCTATGGCTTCCACAGCGAAACGTTCAGAAAAATCTTGTTTTGATTTATTCTTAAACACTCTGGGATTATTTATAATGATTCAGTCTGACTCGGAGCTTGTATTATTCCAGGAAATGTGTAACATCTATGGTCTAGAAACCTTTAAATCATTCGATTACTGTTGTCGGTAAAATTACGATTAGTTAAGTACCTGACTAACCGTACAATGATTGCAAATAACACATGAGAAAGCCTTAATAATGAAACGAGACAGATAGAGGAAGTATTGGTACTTAATACCTATCCTATTATATCTGTTAAAAAGTTCAGAAAAGCCGATAACGAACGAAAAAATAGAAGTGAATTTTTTTTAAATTTAAAAAGTGTAAATTCGCATTGTAAAAATTCAGCTAGACCTGAAATGGTTGATCCTGTTAAGTTAAATAATATAGAAAAAAGCTCAGCCATTGCACACTGCATTCACTTGCATGTAATCACGAAATACGGTGGGATAAGGTAAGAGTATTAAAAAGTAATATAGTTAGGTGGAGAGAGAGAGAGGGGGTTAATCACTGAAGCTTTGTTTATCGATTCAACACCTTACACGTGCAATCAGGATGATGCAACACCTATACCGGAGATATGGAAAGTGGTAACAAACAACAAAGTGAAGCTGGAGAGACAGAAGAGTATATATATATATATATATATATATATATATAAGACAAACTGTGAAAGCGTTTGACTAAAATTGATATGATTATCAGTGTCAATAATTTATGCTCGAAACGTCATCCAGTTGTTAATACTGCATCACTCTGTGATGTTTGAAATAAATTTATCTAATTTTAGAACATAAAGCATCCACGGTGTTGTCATACAGAGAAGGCACCCTATAAACCCTATGTAGTAGAATTCTCAATACAGCAGGAATTCAGGTGGCATTCAAACGAACAGTCTCTCCAGCCTACCGTATATAACGCGGTTAAACAAAATAACTCAATCTGCAAATCACTTTGCAATAACTCTGAGATCAACTGCGTAGTTCAGTGCAATATATTGGAGACAGCTAATCTGAACATAGGAGTTTAGCTCATTGTAGAATGAATAACTACAAATAGATGATGACCAGCTTAGAGAAAAACTCAGCAAAAACACAATGCTTGCTCTGTTACACCAGCGCACAATATGTAGGGTGAAGCAGAGCTACAATTCTAATAAGTAATGTTAGGCGTAGATGAAGGGGCAGTGTTTGATCAGTAAATCGTTTTTCACCGAATCTACACGAAACGTTGGCAATGGGGAATGGCTTAGCGGCAACATCAGAGATATGGAGAATGTTATTACCAATGAAATCGAAAGATAATAAATATAATGTAAATTTTTACACACAATTTGAAAGTTATGTAAATAAGTGCCTTGGTATAAGACTATGAGGAATAAATTGTGCTTGAGACGTCATCAGTAAACAATACTGTATCACTCACTGTGTATAACTTATTAAATAAAATTCAATAATGGAAGTATGTCACATGAGGTATCAAATCAAACAAAACATGAGAAGAATGATGAAAACAGGAGTTGAAATAAAATTTACTTAAAGTAGTATTTTTGTATAAAGAGTAGAAAATAAGTGAATTCTATGAGATTTCTTTTCAACGGAAAGTTTGAAGTTTAGATCATTTTTAACTAACGCCTCAAATATGCATAAGAGATAAGAAAATAGGTCTTCAGGGTATTGCTAATGGGAGCTCTTTTGTTATTTGTAAGAAATCAGATAATTTAATTTTATAGTTTCAACTGTGATCATGGATTGATGTTAGATAGAGAACTATTAAAAACTAGAGTGTACTTTACTGGACAGCTGTTTCGTCCTAGTTTGAAACTCATCAACAGTACGTATTCACTGGGATTCGAATCCAGCACCATCTGGTTAACATGGCAATCGCATAGACCCAACTCAATTCCTCATAAATTCTAACTGTTACCAACTCGCTATTCGAGCGCCACCAGCACTAACCAATATCATCGACAAAAGCCAAAGAGATGGAGAAAGCTTTGAGGATAGGCAACACCAGGCAACTCTTTGGACTCATCAGGGAAACGGGTGGGAGAAGACAAATCATTAGTGAGACAATCTCGGAAAAAAATGGCACTATAATTAGCTCACAGGATAGACGACTGGATCGTTGGAAAGAGCATTATGAGGAGCAGTTTAATTTGCCCACAGCCACGCTCAACCTTCCGAGCATCCAACACCTCCCTGAATGGGATATAGATACAGGTCCTCCGTCACTAACTGAGGTTACTAAAGCTGTCACCAATCTGAAACTAGGCAAAGCAGCGGGACCTGATGGAATGACGCCAGAGGTATTTAAGTACGGTGGAGACAGCTTACTGTCCGCATTAACTGAGGTACTAGGCAGCGTCTGGGAATCAGAAGAAGTCCCATCGGGTTGGTGTAAGTCACTGATTATCCCCATATACAAGAAGGGAGACAAGTCTTCCTGTGATAATCACAGAGGGATTAGCTTGACTAATATAGTATCTAAAGTCTTAGGCTCAATAATCATGCGTAGACTGAGTGGTGCTCGGGAAGCACAAACACGAGAGAGCCAGGCAGGCTTTAGACCAGGAAGAGGGTGTATTGATCATATCTTCACCCTCCGACAGATTCTAGAACATAGGCATTCCTACCGGCGTCCAACAGTCATTATATTTCTTGACCTAAAGGCAGCATTCGACTCTGTCGATCGGGAAGTTCTCTGGAGATGCTTGGCTGTAAAGGGAATTCCTAGAAAATATATTGCACTGATTAAGGCACTCTACTCGTACTCATACAGCCAGGTGAGGGCTTACGGCGAGCTGTCATCTGAACTGATGACGACCAGTGGTGTCCGTCAAGGATGCCCATTATCTCCTTTTCTATTCAACTTCATCATAGATGTGTTAATGGACTTAACCCTAGGTGACTTCAGCGATTCAGGGATTGACTTGCTACCGGGAATAATCTCGTTGACTTGGAATATGCAGACGATATAGTCCTTCTAGGCGAAGACGCTGACGAAATGCAGAGTCTTCTAAACACCTTGAACAGCAATCTACGAATGTTTGGCATGCGATTCGCTCCCGCCAAATGCAAGATGATGTTACAGGACTGGACTACATCGACGCCTAGTTTAAAAATAGGAAGTGAAGTGGTAGAGCACGTTGACCGCTTCACTTATTTGGGAAGTACCATCAGCCCCAACGGGCTGATCTCTGACGAAATCTCAGCACGAATACAAGGGGCTCGTTTCGCATTTGTTAGTTTACGCCGACTCTGGCGTAGACGAGATGTTCGACTATCGACCAAAGGGCGGGTGTACTGCTCATCAGTCCGCTCCGTCCTCCTTTATGGTTGTGAGACCTGGCCACTGAGAGTGGAAGACATGAAAAGACTAGCTGTCTTTGATCATAGGTGCCTGCGTTCTATTTCCCGTGTAAAGTGGCATAATAAGGTGAGCAACATTGAGGTTAGGCGTAGAGTTCTAGGTAAACAGGGGAAATCAATCGACGAAGTCGTGAAGCTACATCGACTGAGATGGTTAGGACATGTGTTACGTATGCCAAGCCATCGCCTTCCTCGACGAGCAATTCTAGCTGATATAGGGCCAACCTGGAAAAGAGCTAGCGGTGGTCACATCAAAACATAGCATCAGTCAATAAAATCCACAACAGTTAGTCTAAGCCACATAGGAATGTGTAGACTTCCTGGTTGTGGTCCTAGGGACGGTAAAAACCAATGGTTGGAAACAATATGTGACATGGCCCAAAATCGTTCTCAATGGTTGGTGTGGATGGATCCACTCCTTGTGACTTTGATTTCTAATGAAACTCTGTTAACTGTCTCTATTATGCATTTCTTCTACTCATGTTGAAGTCCTCCAATCAATGAAAGCAATATCATTCGCTTAAATGTGTTGTTCTAAATCTTACCATGGATATATTTCATATGTATGTATACATTTTATATGCTATAACGTACAGTGGCGGTGAGAGATAATTATGAAATGCATTGAAGCTAACTAGCTAACAAACAACTTATTTTACATCTAACTGACTTACGTCTAATTGACAATCTATTCGTCGACAAAATTATTGTACCATTTTCTGCATAGATTTATTTTGTTTAAACTTGAACTGTCTTTCTAAAATCTATATAGGGGCAATTTTTTGAGCACTGTTTACAAATTGTGGAAATTTCTGTCAACTGACAACATGTAAAATTTGCAAGTATGTTAAAACATGTCTGTACTTAAACCTCATAATTTATTTAGGCTGTAAGCAGCTGATGAGAAGCCAACGAAATAAATGATGGTACCATATTATTCTGCTAAAACTGTATTTCTTGCTTTGTTCAAAAACTATTGTAAGAATTCGTGGTTTGACTGACCGAGTAACCAACAATCAATCAATATTATTGTCCATTCTTACTCCTTACCTAACTGACTATATACACCACAACTTTTGAAGGCTAATCAATAATTACCACCACATACTTATTGTTCACCTGTATATAATTAGCAACAAATACCTAAAATTCAAAGCTTATGCTTAATACTATAGAATATAATCATTTTTTTAAAAAAACAAAACTGCTTTAATGATGCTAACGAAGTAATTCGTCGTAACATATTCTGTTATCGGATTTCTTTTAAACATCATTAGAAAAAAATTTAACTTCTGTTTTTCAGACTATTTTTACACTGATTTTTCTTTTTGTCTATCTTTTTGTTTTTAGATTGCTACTGAGTTATGTATATTACCAGAGAAATTGAATGTCTCCGGTGGTGCAATCGCTTTAGGCCATCCAGTTGGATGCAGTGGAGCACGTATCCTAGTCACACTAGCGCATACACTACAACGTATTGGTAAACAGCAGCAGCAACAACAACAACATAGTGGTGGTGATGAATCTCCTGTTCGACGTGGTGTAGCTGCTTTATGTATAGGTGGTGGTATGGGTATTGCAGTTGCCATAGAAACATGCAACTAGTGTGATAGAGAGATATAATATATATAACTATAAGATAAAATCAACATTCCTTGACTATTTTTTTTTCTGATTTTCATAGTATTTAATTATCTTTTAGTGGTTTAGCCTTTCTTTTGTGCATATATATGTGATTCATTATGGTGATAAAAAAGCGCGCCTGATTCAGTTATTCAACAAAATTAAAGAATGTGCCTTAACAACACCGTTCTTTTTTGATTCTCGAAGAACACAAAGATTTAATCTAGTTTCATCAAACAAATTCATTACTTACCTTACTTGACAATGTTAATTAACTGAAAAATAATAAATTAGATTTCATTTAACTGAGGTTTTTCTTTTGTTCTTAATCATTTCTTTTTCAGTACATTTTTTCACACTGTGTATGTGTATGTTGCATAGAGATTGTATGTTTTGAGAAACTTACGTTTCATTTTCAAACTTGAAAGTTTATTCAAAGTAAACTGTGTACAAAGAAGTAGGTTTGTGAATAATTATTGATTTATGTGAATGAGTTTGCTGTGGAAATAGTCGAAAGTAAACTATACAACTGTCCTCTTGACACAGTTCTACAGACATAGACACTAAGGGTGAACGCGCGATTTTTAAGATATTTGTCTTACTTCAACCCCGATAACTTAGTATTATCTACCATTATATGTTTAATATCTGAACTGGTATCGAGTTCCTAAAAGTGCACTGTAGTCTACGAAATTCAAATTACTGGTAATTATAATGATGTAACCATTTTTTAAACTGTTCTGATGGTAACTTGTACTTATATATACATATATGCTGCCGCTGTATAACATCATAACATAGTCTCCTCCTCCTTAGACAAAGAAGCCAAATATATGTATGTACGTTGTACCTACCGTGACTGCACATCTGCTTTTGACTCAGCACACCTAGATGTCTTTTGTTAAATAAGCTTACTCTTACACTAACTGAGTCCTGGGCTGTTCGTTCATTGCTGGTTGCATTCTTATTTCCTCTAATAGAATGCAGTATGCTGCGAATCTTTTTCTGCCTTGCCTACTTGAAGCTGGTGTTCCTCAGTATTCTGTTGTTCTCTCCTTTTCTTTGTTTTCATTCTTCTTATATATGACTTACCTCTTTTAAAATGAAATCAACTTCGTCAAATATGCAGGTGATCTGACTTTCTCGCTTCCTGTGAAGTCCCAGTTAGACTGTTGTAAACTTATTTTTGCGGGACATCAGTCGGTAGTCTAAGCTATTTTATGGTCTTACCTTAAATCCCTCAAATCGTTAGATTATTGACTTCTCTTTTAGGCATAAACATGATCTGCAACGACCGGTTAGTACATACAATGCTTGTAGCATGGAGGGAACTATAATAGAAACTAAGCCTAACACAAAATACCTTGGTGTAGTTCTGTTCTCTGATCTTACTTTTTCATCCCATAACTTTGTAGATCTCCAAGAAATCCTCCATCTAAGCTGCTACATTAAGGAGGTGAGAAAATCTGGAATTACTCAACCACTACCTTCAAATGTGGTTAACTCGTGTATCTTACCTATTTTTTACTTTACTATTCCCCCTTAATCTTTCCTGATATGTTGAAAAAGGACTGCCACTTTGAGAAGGGTATTAAAGATTTTCAGTAGGGTAAGCGGTGTACAACTTAGCTTGTTACTACATTAGTTGACAGACATCTGAACTTATGCGACAAATGGTCTAAATCCATATTATCTGACCATCTACACCCCCTCTATTTTCAACCCTCTCCTTGTATCTCATCTGACAGAACTAGAAGTCAGTACAAAACATTATATTGCTCGTACTATCAAGTATAAGCTCAACGGTACCATATTTAACCTGTGTTCTATACGATAGAGACAATGGTAAGCGCTAAACCTATGACTGACTACGTTGTTAACTCAATAATTGACCCTTTTATTATCTCCTATTTGTAATGTATATATAACTACACTGTCACTACAAACTGCCATTAACAATCCTGTAATATTATTCTTAAAATTGTTTTTAATGTTATTTGATAAAATTAGATGCAGTATTGTACCAAATGGAGAAAATTCAACACGGTATCATTAGTACTGTTTTGGAATAAAACAAATTATTATTATTGTAGTCTAAAGCATCAAATGACTGAATATAGATTGGGTCTTATCTATTTGTCAGGAAGGGACAGCTTAACGGCTATAAAACTGGGCCTTTGATGTGTGTATATGTCAGATCTTCGCATTTTTGTGCATTATTTCTAAGCAACGTGACTGACTTGTCAACGGCAATAAGGTCTCCTAATCTCTTCTTTTGTTTAAACTTTTGCATTTCATAGGACAAATAAATTGCTGTTTTTTAAGTCTCACTTATGGAGGGTGAAGAACGACCTCATAATTCTACAGTACCTTGTGAACGTATTTTTATCCAACGTGATTATTCTTCTGGTACAGCTGTACGTTTTCAAACTCTTCCTATGCCACTTCAACTTCGAGGTCGCGTAAGTTCACTTAAGCAAATAAATGTGTATTTTTTTATCGTTGTGGCGAGGGTTGGTGGTGGTACATTTTTAGATTTTAAATCATAACAACAGCTAATGTCATGTATCCACTTACTTTTTATGATGAATTATGTTCCTTTGTATTTTTCAGATTCCCGCCAATAGATATGCTGATGCAATTACTCGTTTAAACAAATTATTTGATGAAGCTGAAACAATAACATCTACTGTGTGTTTAGAAAATTTATTTGGATGTTTAACAGCTTATTTGATATTTTTATGCATGAAGACACATTATGATAAGGTGAGTTTTTCTTAATTTATTTATGTATTGCTGATATAAATGAATTTTTACTTTAGATGTTTACCTGTTTTCTAAGTGTTATGCATCGGTTTACTGCTATATTTGGTTTCTGATATTGTATGCTTACCTACGAAGCTCTTTAGAATACCGAAAACGTACGCAAAAAAGCTGACTGAGTCTCTTCTAGTGAACCAATCAGACTCAACCCGTTGTGTATTAATCTTTGTGGGCAATCGATAAATTCAGACCATTTGATGTCTAATATGAGTCATGCTATCGATGTTTAACGAAATAATAAAAACATATTAGTGTAGTGTGATGCAGACTGATAGGAAGCGGCTAAAACTGAAATCAACATATTAAATCAATAGCTGCGAAAGTAGAAGTGTTTATTCATGCAACCTGGATTATTCAATTTACGTCGTGGAAATGAAATAACCTCATTGGACAGCTTGTTTAACCTTGTACCAATCGCCAACCAATGAGAATTGTTTACTCTCCTCTGACCTAGCTATACTTTAATGTGGCTAAGAATGTATACATATAATCTGGTGTTCCTTAATAAAAGTCCGTCACCAAGTCTCTTCTCCTGTTACACTAGCAAGTGTGGATGTAATCAGTACACCGTTAACTGAATGCATTGGTGTTTTAATTGCATAATGAATGTCTCCTTTTTGATGGTCAATCTCTTTACGGATGAACAAAGACTAGTGGCTATGAAGTTAATGTACATATGAGGATATCAAAACCAGGGGACCAGAAAATCAAGGCGGACTTTCATTACTCTGAAGTCAGTATGGAAATCTGCTGCACTCAGCACAAGATCCGAATTTTCAAAATCTTTTTCATCAAGCTACTGCAGACTTCCATCAACAGTGTGTTTCGATCAAATGGCCCGCAGGAAACGATAAGCACCAAGGTAGTCTGGCATCCAAGAATCTATTGCCTAACAAACATGGAAGTGGATTGGAAATTAGCCACACAAAAAAACATTGAGTAACATCATATGGCAGGCTGTAGAATGGGACCTGAGTGTAAAGGGATGAGAGTTGGGTGTCTGAGGGTGATATGGAAAAGGTCGTTCGAGGGGGGAATGAAAGTATATGAACAATTGCACAGTCAGACAAAGAAAACTACAGAGGACTGAGTGAAATGGCGATGTGCTGCAAAAACCCTATGTTCCGCTCGGAACTGAAGCAAGTAATAATAATATATTAACATAAATCAGATGTTGGATAACCTTGAAGTAATGTGTGATTTTGAAATAATAGAGATTTGTAGCTCAGGTGGATGATTTACAATTAATAGTGTTCTCTGAGCTGGCTGGTTTAGTTGTGGAGCTCTCGTTGTCCTTCTGGACATCTTCAGCGCATTATGTGAAGATGATTACCGGGAGACTCAATTATATCACTCATGAAGAAATTTAAATCATTTCACTTTGTGCTAAATATTGCGCTGAAGATGTTGTCCAGAAGGACAATGAAAGCTCCGCAGCTAAACCGACCAGCTCAGAGAACACTATTTATTGTAATGTGTGATTACTCATGTGTTAAAACGCATGAATTCAACTTTTTACAATAATATTTGCTCATTGATTATATATACATGATACCGATAAATGCCAATGGGGATGCAGTTCGTGTCGAATATTTTTCCGGATTAGATTTTATGCATTCAAATCTGAACTGAGTTTTTTACAGTTTCATCATATCTAATTCACCTATCACATTAAACATTTATATATATCGTACATTGCAATCATTTGGCAGTAATTTTCAAAACGACATTTGATAAGAAGTTGAATCTCATCTAGCTTTTATGTCCTTATGATGTTCCTCATTTCATTTGCGTTACATGAATTTATACAATAAGCACTAGAATAAAATGGATTGCCGAATAATTAGATACATTGTGGCTTGTGCTACTGATAAGGGTTTATCAGTAGTATATAGACGGATGTTCATCGGCACAATAAATATCAAATAGCGGAGTGATAGACTTGACGTCATAGTGAGCAAATGGACCAGTGTCGCGGCAAAATATGGGAGACACGAAAAGAAGGCAAAGAAACACAATACGAAGGCCAGAAGTAGGACAACACGGAAGATCTGTGCAAATGATGATTTGGAGATAAGGCATACATAATTTCGATATATGGACATACTAAATTCCAAATAAACATTGCTTCACCAAGTTCCTTGCCTTCTACTGTTACAACAGTTCAAATCTGCTACACAGTAATCATTGGACTTTTTTTTTACTTCTTATAGTCATTCACTGATATCGTATTTTCTTTACATTCAACACATTTTGTCGAAGTACGTTTTCTTTTCTCTTCTTTTTTCTATATAGGTATTGCAGAAAGTCACTTTAGCGGTTGCTGATTTAAATGAAAAATTGTTTCTACCGAATGGATTACTGATGATTGATCCGTCTGAACGTGGACTCCGAGTTGTATCCTTTATAATAGCTATGATCTTTTAATGATAAGGACATCATAATAATTGGTTGTTAATCTAAAGAGTTCATCGCTGAATTGCGATTTGACCAAGGCTAAATGTTTCGTAATATTAGTTTATCAGTGTAAATTCTGTTCAGGCTTCTTTACGGAGTCGATGTGAGTGTATAGTGGAAAGGGGTGCGTAATTAAGCATTTGTATACTCACATTTATCTGCATCTGTGCACTTAAGATGCCTAGTTTCCAAGATATTTTCACAGTGTTAAGTAGTTTTCGTACTTTTTGGGTGAATAAATTTGAGATCTGCTTTAGGAATCTACTAAGTCCCCCTACCTAACTTCTACAAACAATGGGCCTAGGTTATGTACGCAGTTTCGTGAATGTGATAATGAAGATACTCGTTAATTATATTGGTTTATTCTTTAATAATTGTAGATTTGAGTAAAATATTCTCACATTAGTGTTGAGTCGATTCTGGTACACACAAACACACATACAGAGTCGTATATTGCGTAACGGACCATATTTTTTTAAAGAAACGAAGATGATGGTTTCCGAGTGGAACATGGGGCTTCTACAGAACATCTCCACTTTGTCCTATTCTCAGCGGTCTTCTTAAACTGGCTGGTTCCACGACTGCCCATAAGCCTTCATCTCTTTCGCGCACGATATCCTCCATGTCACCTGCACGCCGACGACCCACTTGAGGGCCTGGTGTGCAATGTAATTCAATGGTTTACTCAGCGTGTGTCCGACCTACGTCCTTTTTCTTCAGCATATTTGTTGAGCAAACTATCCAGTTAGTGTAATTTAAATAGACAGCAAATGTTTAGAAGTTGAATATATAACCAACCCAGTGAAGTGAAACACTGCTATATGCCTCAGGTCCCTCTGATGTGATATTTTGTCTACTTCGAAATATATCACTTTCTGTTTATATATATGCAAATATGCTGACTCCATTATTGCAAAAGGTCTGGAAGGAGGGTAAGGTGCCTACTGACTGGAGGAAAGATTACTTCATGAAACTACCAAAGAGGTGAGACTTAGGACTCTCTGCGAGAACTGGCGAGGAATCATGCTCCTGTCGACGCCAAGTAAAATCCTGAGTCGCATCATCCTGGAGAGAATAAAGGACGCACTGGATACAGAACTCCGACAAGAACAAGCTGGATTCAGGAAAGGCAAATCATGAGGAGATCGTGAGTAGAGGAGCTGAAACAGTATGGACTAACATGGATGCACTTGAAAAGTACAGCAGAAGACAGAAGCAAGTGGAGACGTGCAGTTGAAGCCCTACATTCCACTAGGAACCCAAGGGAACAATATATATATATATATATATATATATATATATATATATATATATATATATATATATAATTATTACCTTTAATTCCTAGAGGAACATAGGGCTTCAGCCCGCGCACCTCTGTTGCATTTTGTTCTCTGCTAGAATTTACACTTGACTCCAAGTCTGCCCACATGATTTCATCTCTTCTTCACATGACCTCCTCCAAGTCACCCCTTGGCTGACCAACTCGCCGCTTCCCTTTCGGGTTCCATCTCCATTTCTTCCCGCCTATTTGTTGCACAATCGGTTCCTGCTGGGTTGGTTCGCTCATTGCCAGAGATCCCTGTTGCTGATCTTTTGTGGCCATCTGATCTTGAGTATTGAGCGAAGACAGCTGTTAATGAAGGTCTGTAGTTTGTTTGATGTGCTCTTTATGATGCGCCAAGTCTCTGATCTGTAAAGTAGCACCAACTTCACATTGGAGTTGAAAATCCGGATCTTATTTCTGATGCTGAGTGCTGTTGACCTCCAAACAGACTTGGGAGTAATGAAAGCTTGTCTTTCTTCCCCGATCCTTGTTTTGATATCCTCGTCAGTTCCGCCTGTAGTTGAAACGATACTTCCCAGTTAGATAAAGGAGGTTGTTTCTTTCAAATTTTTCCCGTTCATGCTGATTGTTGTCGCTGTTGGTGTTGGCCAGGAATCTTCATCACCTCTATTTTATCTATGTTCACCTGAACTCCTTCCTATCTTTGATGCTTCTTCTGTGAACTTGTTGCTTTTCACTTGCATATCTTTCAGTTTGTGGGAAATCAGACAAATCGGCAAAGTACAGATCCTCCAAGTTTTTTGTGTGGGTCCATTTTATGCCTGTTTCCTCATCCCCCGCTGTCTGTCACATCTTCTGCAATCAGGAAGATAATTGGCGATAGTAGGCAGCCTTACCTTACCCCCGTCCTCACTTCGAAGAATTCCGTTAGTTTCTCGTTGTGGATTACTTGGGATGCAGCATTGTCGTATAACTGTCGGCGGCACCCCGTATTAGCGAAGTAGTTTCCAAATATAAACTATATATATATATATATATAAGTCGTCTTTTTGATAGATTCAGGGGATTCAGAAGGCAAACATTGCGAGATTATACCGCTTCGTAGTTCCTCTACAATTAGCAATAGCAAAATGTTTGACAATTAATCAGTTTTATAAACTAAAAGTATATATACGATAACATATCGTACTTAAATAGACCAAGTACAGCCTAGGGTAGGCAAAGTTTGAAGCCGACTGGTTTTTGTACATGTCAGGTTTATCAACCGTGAATTAATTCGAAAATAGTCATTAATATTGACGTTATGGCCAAATGTTAGTATATGTTGCTTTGCAATAGATTATTTTACTTCTGTGCGTTTAAATTTTCTTTTTCATGTAATAACCAAGTGTTGTTCCCAATATCATAGGCAGATTCCACTATATATGTTTTCTAATACGATTTTCGCATGTTGCCTATACTTCTTAACCTGTACTTACAGATAGAATTATGCATATTTCATTCGCAATGACAAACATTTTGTGTGAAGGTATTTCTCATCATAATCAACTTTAATCCCCAACGCTCGCTCAGTATGCTATTGGAACACAGAACCATACACTGTGTCATTTTAAATATTTTTGAGATTCGTTCTACCTAACTAAATTCATCGACTCTCCACCCGCTAGCAAACGCAAAAAATGTTTTACTTTCAAGTTAATTGTATTATCTTGCAATTCAGTTTTATTCTTGGTTTTAATTTTATTGTGAAATGGATTTTGTGTAATTATGACGTAATCACAAATCAATTTTTTGTTTTTGAGTATTATGAATAAGGTATCTCTAATTAATTATATCAAACGTCTTATCTTCTGTTGTCGTAATTATCAATAAACAGGAGTATCATAGCTGAGAAGAACATTTTCGAGGCAGAAAACGTACCAAAAGATACTAACTTTAAGCAATTAGGTAACGAGGAAATAGTAAATTGGTGACCAACCCATGAATACTACTGATTCGGCTGCTTTGAAATATCTTAATGATGATAAACGTATTCATTCGTCATAATCAGGCAATCACCCACACACACACTGAACAGTGGGCATAAAAGTATTCCGTTCGATTCCTCCTTAACATGTGGATCAATATGGAGATAGTTCTGTTATACAAGTTTATCGGAGTGAAGAATGATTAACTGTGAATGTACGGAACATACTTTTGTATTCTGTCGCAAGGTGACCTGAGTTGCGCTGTCTGTAAACGTGATGTGTAGTTTGCACCACTGATGTGCGGCGTACCTTGGCAAGACCAAATTAAGTCTGTATCTGCGATTATTAAGGGTCAGAAAGCAGAGCTGAATACACCAATCCCAGCCTCTAGTGTTATTCATAACGTCGAAGTCAGAATTACTACGTCGAATCTTCACAGATGTGAAACTGAGTCCCGTTGTAGAGTTGGTTCTAAATATCTATGTAGTGTTACATCCATTTTGTGGGAGCATCGCACAAATGATTCTTAGTCTCGGGTTTTTTTCCAGGCGAAATATTAGCGCGTCGATGTCTCGGAAATGTAGCAAAGTGTAACGGCAACTTACATGGCGTCCACTGCCTTTTAGTTATGTGGGTGGTCGGAAGAAAGTTGGATTTATTCGGCTTTTGATATAGTGTCGGGCGTTTACGACACTTCAATCTGCATGAAGCAACATTATTTGGCATAAGCAGTTCCCATCTTCTTATACCGATCAACACTTATGGATTGTTTATTATTTTGCGCTGCGCTTTTTTGACTGAATGGTAAAATAAATGGTCCACATTTCAGATCAGTCCATACACTAACAAATACAAAGCCAACACTTTCACTCCTCTATATGTGGAGGTAGTAATTACGGCAGCATTTGGGTCAAAAACCTAGTTGGAAACCGAAGAACATACGTACGGGCATTAGTCGTTATCGCTTAACCGGCATGAAAATCAGAGTGCATTTTTACGAAATTTTTCACTTCACTCCAGTTATTTTTGTTACTGAATACACTCGCCGTTCAGTATTTGTATGAACGATTGATCTATAAAGTCAAGGCCGACAACTTGTGGCATATTTCATTAACTTTATCACCTCTCATATGTGAATGTAAGGCATATGAACATCCTGTCTCAGTATTGACACAAGCTCTAACAAAATAATTTGATCTAAATCTGTCACTAATTTACGCAACTATTTACGAATGCTGAGTTATATCAGTTGAACATGCAGCGCTTAAAACTAGTACGGTGTTAAAAAACAAGGTAATGAATTTCCCGAAGATGAACTGGGAGTGGGTAATCCCAATACCACCTAACGATTAATAGGAAGTTTCATCATGGACACCAGTGCCTTGGCGATGTTCCCTGTGAAGTATTCCCCTACCTATTTCTGTTCTTATGAACCAAGGACAGCAATTCCCACAAGATGCATACTGATGTCGTATTTAAGCCAAGATAAGATTTAGTTATATTGTTACACTCTCACATATGAGGTTCTGCGGGTGATAATCATACTTTTCATCAGATGAACAGTCTTTTGGGAAGTTACTGCCGATCAGTAAGATGCCATATATGTGCACTGCATTGAATGAGCTATGAACGAAGAGAAAGTGATATGACAAACTGCAAAAGGAAAAAGAGTATACATGTTTTCTAGGAAAGTTCTATTTAAGTAAGGCGAGTGATAACTAAATAAAACAGTGGTGGCACGTTAACAGAGTTTTATCCATATCCGGAAATTATTCTGTTAGTGTTTCTTTTTGTCTGCAACAGCTTTTTTCCGATTAGATTTCATTTTCCATAGAAGAACGCCCAGAAATACAGAGCCATAAGTTGCAAACGCTACCTATAGTTAAAAATTAATAGTAACATAAACAAAAGAGTCTAAACATTAGTTTGGAGCGCCTGAATATATATATATATATATATATATATATATATATATATAAACTTTCGTCCCATACATATCCGAGAAATTTCCTACACGTTCTAGCATGTACAATGCTCTCAATGAGTCTGTCAGTTCCACGCACCATTGAACAACACTCTAAGCGTAGGGCAAGTTTGGAATTGCAAGGAGGTATTTTGATAGTTCGTTGCAAAGAGCCATCGATTATTAGTACACTAAGGGTAATCAGAATAAGTTGCATAACCGATGGAAAAGCCAATGCGTTTACTTACTAATTAGTTTGAAACACTATCTTATGAGGGAAAAGAAGGGAATCGTGCTTTTAAATTGCTTACTTTTAACTCCATAGATTGGAAGATTTGCTTGAAAAGAACGAAATCGACTATCAGGTTTTTATCTAACAAACCGTAAGTAGACGGTGTGGGTAAGTTGACTGACTAAGTACAATGATGGAACTCGACGAAATTGACGGTATTAAGCGTTTCATACAGATACCACAGATTCTAAATTTAATATCGGGTAGTTACACACAGACTACATAACTTTATTACACCATGTGTTTCAGTATCCTTAGAAGGCCAAAAATTAGATTTATGACCACTATATTATGTAAAATGAAACGATATCAAATTGTTGATTTTTCTTTGCCTATACAGAATATACTTTAGATAACCAAAAGCTTCGTCCATACAGATCACAGGGCATTGAATAGCAACAAAATCATCAATGTCATATGGTCATTAAATCGAAAAGCAACTCAGAAGCCACGTAGATTTCTGTGTATATGGCATTAGACCATTATTATGTAAGAGCGGACTTAAGTGCTTAATTATCAAAAACTCAGCACACGAAGCAAGGGACAAACTACACATAGCTCACTCAATATTGTGACGTATATAGTTGCATGCGAATGATTAGAAATGCCTAAATGTTGTATTATCAATATGATAAGAGAACGTTTCAACCCTATGCTTGCACAGTGAGCCACAAGTCATACAATGAACAAAACCAAATTGTGAGAAGAAACAATTTAAGGCTCGAGAGTGTTAGAAACTTCCGAGATAAACGGCGCATATATTCACTTCACTATGGCTGATTTTCGGTAATTTCAATACAAATTTCCACTTAGTCACTCCCACGAACTAAGATACCCAGCTGCCCTGTATGTCACTTTTTTGAAACACCTCCCACAAGTATTAAAAGATTACGTGCATAGTAACTATAATTCTTTAGAGGTAAGAACAGCACTAGTTCGGCAAGCTCACCATCTTAAATCCTGATGGAGTGCACCCCCTTGATATCTTTCTGCAACAGCCCATGGCCTTGCATTATTTTCAACTTGTCATTCCCCTTTTATTATCTCTTACTTAACGTATAGATGAGACGTTTTCAAACTAAAGTCAGGTTCTACTTTGATTCTTACTCTTTAGAAATAAAAGAATGGAGGGACAGGACATGGTGGTTCCACTAAGGTGTTTAGGACTCACTATATCGAATGAAGAAGCCTGACCTAAATCGTAGGAATAAATTTCAGTCCACTAGTTTAGATTATCAATAAACCCAGTTCAAGAGAAATATTTTGTAGTAGGGATAAAAAGGTGAGCTGAACCAACAATGTCCAAGAGCTGCAGGACCTGTTTTAATGTAGGTTCTTATCAATCAATGACAAATAGACACCTAAGAGTGTATTACAAAACAACGTTGCCGTTTCCTATGTCATCACGACTGAGATGCTCCCAGGAAGCTTTAACCAAAGCAAATGATTGCCCTGAACCATTACTCCTCCGTTTGGTTTGAAACTAGTTCTCTGACGCAGTTGAATGGCACAAACGTGTTTACCTTGTTACTGTCAAAATTGCGGAGTTTCAACAATCTCCACTTAGCCATCCGATTTTCCAGTTCTATTTATTTACCAGACGCTTGTAGTCGCCTCTACAAATTCATTAGTTAAATGTACCTGTTGAAGAGTCGATTTTCCACCTAAAAAGATATCCGATTCAGAATGCGCAGATACATAAGTAATCGACAAAGATGACATAATACAGTGGTTTAAACTACCTAGTTTGACAAAATGGGCGAGTGATTAGTGTTAATATTGCAATGGGAAAGCTGTTACTTAATGAGCGGTATTGGTTACATTATGGTCACAATGGGAAAAATTACGTCATAACAGGAATTAGGCCATTCTTCTTAGCATTGATTGCGCCCACCATTGATTTTTTACCACTTTTCTGACTGATCGAGTACACCCAGACGATAATCTTAGTCAAATGTAAAGATCTAATTTCTCTTTGAAACAGACCTCTATCAGGATTGATATTACTTGATCAGCTAGGGAGTTTGAGTAATTGGCCACCCTATCGTGAATCTAAATTCTATACGCATTTCATTCGTCAGCGATTTCAGAACTTTTTTGAGGTGACCTCGCACAGGTATCCATACAAACATATACTTTAAGTATGTATTTCGACAACCAAAACTTACATTTGATCGCCCTTTTATTGTATATGTATTGAAATAGTGTCTCCAGCCAGTAAACGCAGAATCAGGCAACGACCCATCTGCTGCCATTCGTCTGTTGATTCGCAACTACTATTCGCGCCT